GCAAGGCAGACAAGCATGGCATACCGTGACAGCAGATCTCATGGTAAGAGTAGTTACCAGCAGCTACATAATCCCTCCCACACTCTTCTCCCCCAACACTTTCTCACTGCTCAATTAGGCACCCTCCTGTCCGCTTGGGGTTCAACTTCCACTCCAGAGACTTCACAAAATCTAAACTAGCACTCTGCAGTTGTGAGGGAGATACCATTTTTTGGATATGTTAAACTGATGCCCTGTCAGATGGGTGTAAAAATATGCTGATAGCACTATTCTGAAGAAGGGTAGGGAGTAAAGCAAATAATCAGGTCAATTATCTCAGCTGACCTTGGGAATCTAATTTCAAATTTTGTTGTTACAACTACAGTAATGACTTTAATGATTCTGAAGCACTGTAGGGCATCCTGAGACATGAAAAATGCTAGATAAATTCAAGTTTGTTCACTTGTTATTCCATGACAGTTAAGATGCTCAAAGTTGGAGGTTCCTGGATTCTGAATTTCTCTATCTTCACTTGGAAGAATGCACTCAATTTTTACTGCCATTTTCTCCTAGCAAGTAACACCACTGACTGTCATGTCCACCGGGTAGAAGCGCCCCTTTCGATGGATTCTATTTCACCCAGGATATCCTGATATTAAATGGTACTACTCCAGAAACGCTTCTCAGACTAGCAAAGTTAATTTGGCTCACATTTCTTTTGTAAAGTTCCTAAGCAGTAGTTCTAATTTATTTTAATCCCCTACTGAATTAACTTGTGCTCTCCCATGGGGGCTGATTTCCTCTTGGTCTAGAGTGCCAGTACCTCAGCCAAGTGCCTGCAATTTCTGGGTGAGTACTGGCAGAACATTTGACCTGGAAACAGGTTTTATGGGCACCAGTTCTGGTTAGTTAACTCAGCACAAGCTAGGCATCAAACCTGGTGACCTTCTGTTCATCACAACTGGTCATTCGGTGTCTGAACCATGAGTTTATCAGGAAAGCTGGAATTTACTATTTCAACACAGTGCCCATATCCCGTGAATTAATACAAAAATAGAAGCTCATTGAGTGTGTCGCACTTAAGATACAGAGCTGGGTATTCAGTTTAGCAGTTCAATGTCAGTGTTTATGCTCCTCCTCCCACCATTCTTCTCACTCCATCAATATAACCTTCTTTTCCTTTCTCCCTCTGATTACTGCGTTCCTCTTAAATGTTTCAGCATCTTGCTTTCCATTAGGGCAGCCAACACAAAAATGACCAGTCTGACCTGGATTGCTAATCTTTGAAACTTTGAATTTCAAGGTGAGTAAGAGAATCAAGTCGAACAGTTTGCATTTTTAGCTTGCTGTAGGTTTTTCAATAAATAATACGGTTCCTTACAACATTTAAGAGTTGTCTGTAAAGAGGAGTTAAGTATTCTTGTCTGTTCAATTGGCCATCTCAAGAAATGAACCTTGTTAACGATATCACTCGGGGCACTAAATTTAATGCTGGCTATTTTAAAATTGATTTAATTCTCATTTGTTATGAGAATAAATCGAAACTAGTTTGTTGCAGTTACAAGTTCCACAATTTAACACTGCCATTTGACAGGAATGGTACCCAATAGTATACTGCCGTACACAATTAATGTTCGGAGAAAATGTGCATTCCCCACCCACTGCCTTCCCTCTGCATGTCCCTGACTGGCCTTTTCACATTTTCAGAGAGATGGATTTTTATTAAATATGGCATCATCTTCATGTCTATTTTTTTAATGTGTTGCCTCTTGGTATTGTGGTTTATATCCTTTCAGATGTTGTGCAGAAATACTGGAAGTGTTTGTAATGTGTATCAAGGGATGAGAAGAGGAATAATGTGCTAAGTGAACTCTGTATAGTTTCTTTTCAGATCATAAATAAATTTATTCTTAATGGCTGCTTGTCTTCTGTTCCCTTCCATGTTTCCACAACTTGTATCTCTGCAGCATTGTGGTTGACTCTTAACTGTCCTGTGGACAATTAAGGATGGGCAATAAATGTTGACCTAGCCAGTGATGTCGTTATCCAGTGAATGAATAAAGTAGGCGACGGGGCTGAAATGGGAGTAAGATGAAATAAGGGGTATTCATGAAAGGATTGACTTAATAGGCCTTGAGGAATTGATGCAAAAGGAGTTTGAGTTCCAGAGTGTGGTAGCTAAGAGCTTCACTCCTGATAATGAGCCAGAAGGGGAAAGTGTAGACTCATGGTGAGCTTGATTTGGAACTACAGAGGGTGCAAGCTGAGAGTTTGGCTGGAGATAGTTGCACATAGGATGGAGTCAAACAGTGAATAGAACGTGTAATTTTGAATGACTATAGCAGGAACATCAAGCTGACAGAAGTAGATTCAGCTAGTCCTATCACGATTCCCTGATGCCACTGACTCTCCTTTGGAGCGCTGTTCCACAAGCATTTATTGGCACCTAACTCTAGTTAGCCAGAGTAGTCTGATTCAGATCCAACCTCACCTGGTGTCACCGAGTGGCTTTTTTTTTTTTTTATTCACTCATGGGACATAGGTGTCACTGGCTGGCCAGTATATTTTTCCCATCCTTAGTTGCCCTTGAAGGTTGTGATGAGCTGTGTTCTTGAACCGTTGGAGTCCACATTGCTGTAGGTTAATCCATAATGACATTAGGGAGGGATTTCCAGGATTTTGATCCAGCAACAGTGAAGGAACGGCGATATATTTCCAATTCGGGATGGTGAGGGCCTTGGAGGGGATCTTGCAGGTGATTGTGTTCTCATACTTCTACTGCCTTTTCCTTCTAGATGGAAGTCATTGCAGGTTTGGAAGGAGCTATCTAAGAATCTTTGGTGAATTTCTGCAGTACATGGTACTACTACTGAACTTCCAGCAGGGATCGCTGAATAGCGAAGCAGTTGGGAACTCTGGCTGACCTTTTTACCTCCTGTTTTTCTACCCCTCTGCTTCATCCGTATCATTGAGTTGCATATTGTTTTTAAGTACTACAAAGGAACTAAACAGTCCCTTGCCAACCATGTGTTGGTAAAGGAACGTGAAGCCAGCTGAAGAAGATTTATCTTTCAATCAAGGTGCGTTATTGTCAAACTTTTATTCACAAGCATTTGCAGTGTCAGTATACAGAGAATTGCAAATGTAGCTTCCTGTTGGTTAACACGTTTTTTATAATACTTGACATTTTTCTCATGTTTCTGTAGTACAAGTGAGGAGACAAAAACGAGAGCTGTAGCAATGGTATGCTCTTGCTTAGACAGTCTGAAAGATATGAAGTTGAGATGGAGCAGAAGATTAAACCTCTAAAGCCAGCCTAACTAAATGACCTTTAGATTCTCTGGGCTTTGGATGATTTATATCTGGAACTCTTGGACTGGTTGACTTTGTTTTAAGGAGTGCAAATGTGCTCTCGTTCTGAAGTTTATTCAGGTCTGATACATGTAAATTCTCCCTTAGCAGATAGGTCGGATGAAACTGTGGTGGTTCTCTATTAGCAACACAATCATTTAATCGAGTTCTGTTCCTTACTTGTGTCTAAAACTTCTGACCCTTGTTTGGAAGCATGCTTAGAAGTCAAAGCCACACAGCAACAGGTTACAGTCCAACGGTTTATTTGAAATCACAAGCTTTTGGAATGCTGCTCCTTCATCAGGTGAAGTAACCTGAAATAAATCTGTTGACTATAACTTGGTGTCATGTGACTTCTGACCTTGCCCACCTTCGTCCCATACCGGCACCTCCACATTCATGGAAGCGTGCTGACACACATAACAAGATCTCTATGGTACCTCAGCCACATGGGCTGCCTTCAATGTTGGTGGCCTTGACAGTGAACATTGACATACTATTCTACAGTAGAGTGAAGATCACATGATCCTGGTCCCACCCAATATCCATACACTTCCCAGGCGGGGCCCTGCAAGAAACGTGTGTATTTATTTTTCCTATCCCCAACCTAGGAGATCTAAAATCTAATTGTTGCTCTGCGTAATGGTTTCACCTAATCTGAGGAATTGAGTCTGGAACCCTACTGGTGGTGATGAGCTAGTAACACATAGCGAGTTGCCTCATTTTGGAATAACAGTTTGTTTAAAACAATATAACTTCAGCAAAAGCCTTTCAACAATGGAGGTAGAACACTGAGGCTAAATTAGATGAGGTCTCTGCTCACCACAATTTCCTTTACACTTTATTCCTATTTCTGAGGTACGATCCTGTTTACAGAGAGATTTCATATTATTTTTGTGATACAGAATGATTGTGAATGCTGAACATCTGAAATGAAAGCCAGGAATGACTGGAAAATCCCACTAGTAACGGAATAGACATGAGTTGAGTTAACGTTTTGGTGATGCTGTGTCAGAATTGGTAGGCTCTGAATTTCTTTCTGAGGCTGTCTGGGCTGTGTATTTCTAGCATCTTTTTGATTTTAATTGAAATCAAGGCCAGATGTCCATTTCAAATGGGTGCAGGTGACTGTGAGGTCAGAGGAAGCAGCGGAGCCACCTTAGACTCAACACTTCTAGCTCCTCAGTACCTTACTTCTCAACCTGTAATACTGTAGGGTTAATTTATACTAGTCATTTGCAGAAATTAAAACTCGCCCAGTAATCTGGACCGCACTAATGCAACCTGTCACTTTCTCCAAAGCATTCTAAAATCCTCCAAGCCGATTTCCGGTTGCCTAAATTATCTAGTTTGGCGCAGTCGTTCTTTCTGCATGAGCATGCAAGCCATCTCAGGAATATATAGAGTCAGAGTTGTACAGCACGGAAACAGACCCTCAGTCCATCTCGTCCATGCCAACCAGATATCCTAAATTAATGTAGTCCCATTTACTAGCATTTGGCCCATATCTGTCTAAACTCTTCCAATACACCCATCCAGATGCCTTTTCAATGTTGTAATTTAGCTATCTCCACCACTTCCTCTGACAGCTCATTCCATACACGAACCACCCTTTGTGTGAAAACGTTGCTCCTCAGGTTCCCCTTAAATCTTTCCCCTCTCACCTTAAACCCATGCCATTCTAGTTTTGGACTCCCCTACCCTGGGGAAAAGACCTTGGCTATTCACGCCATCCATGTCCCTCATGATTTTATGAACCTCTAAGGTCACCCCCTAATCATCTTTGTTTTTATAACACTATCCAATGCACCATGCTAAGTTGTGTAGATGCTACATACAGCACTGCCATTTGTTGTGGCCAGTGATGGTGGTGTGCTTTAGTTTAACCACCTAATAAATAAGAGTGTGCGCTCCAAGTAAATCATCTATTTAAGACGGTGGATATCTGAGTGACTCAGTAGAAAAGTTCTGGGTGCTACCCAGACTGTTTGTTTTAATTTGGTTGGGGTGGTAGTTAAGACCCTATAATTGCTGTCTGGTAGAAGAGAGGCAAATCGGCCAGAGTTTTTGATTGCTTTTTCATGGTTGACGTAAGGTATTTCAGAGTTTTGCAGTGAGGGGTGTGCATGTTTTGGGAGTGTAAAAAAAATTTATAGGATTAAAGCAGAGGTGTTCTAGTGCTATGTTCATCACATTACATGTTTACAAATTTTGCAAGTGATTTATTTGTGCCTCTGCCAATCCTATTGTGTAAATAAGTGAAAGCATGAGAAATTCGCAAAGTGTATGATGTTTGAAACTTGCATTCAGTCATCAAAATAGCTCAAAATGCACCTTTTAAATGTATCTGGTCTATTGAGATGAGGGAGTTCCAACATCAGGGAGCTACCATTTTATCTCAAATTATTCAATTCTTAAGTTTCCTCCTATCCATTTTGTCTCCTGTACAAGTGACATGATGCAGTTTTGCTGGGAAGCTGGCTAGGGGTTGTTGATATCCTGAGAATAGAAATTAATTGACCTCCACAGTGGTTATGTTTGTTTAACCCAGGGTCTTTTGTTCCCATTGCAATTGTGAATGCAGGTCCCATTCCTTGTGTTGCCAAATTTGGATTAGTTACTTGACAGAGATCCTGTTAATGACCTGTGTATTTTTTTTAAACTGATAATGTGGTTCCTTTACAAGATCCAACTCTTCCTGCTCCTCAAGCAATCTTCTCTGCTGCCTGTGGGTCTCTGGCTCAGTAACTTCCCTGTCCAATGCTCGAACACTAATCTAGCTCCCCTGAATTTTGTGGGCACAGTTAGTCCTCCCAGCCAAAAATGTTGTTAGCATTCACAGGCTAATTTTTTTTTTTAAAAGTTAGTCATAGTAATGAAAAATAAAGTTTAAACAGTATTTTTTTTAAAGCGGTGTTGGTGGAGAAACACTGTCTTTGATATAGGTCCTGGTGGTGATGCCTTCATATTAAATATCAACTTTTTTTAAGCAGCATTCACACTGCCTTCTACTGTATAACTTCTACATAGTTTGCTGGGTATAGTCCAATGCGGCCTCCATCAAGATAACCTTTACACCATCCTTGCTCATCCTCGTCCTCTACTTTAGTCAGTTCCTGACCTGAAAACCAAGCACAAAAAGTCTGATGAAAGCAGCACTAAGAGTCAGAAAGACAACCTGTTGCAAAGTTTAAATTGTATTCCATATCATTCTTCATTTGGAATGGGGTGGGGGAGTGAGGACCAGCACGAGAAACTAGGGAGGCAATGGCCTAATGGCATTATCGCTAGACTATTAATCCAGAAACCCAGGTAATATCTTGAGGACTCCAGTTCGAATCCTTCCATAGCAGATGGTGTAATTTGAATTCAATTTATAAAAAAAAAACTGGAATTAAGAGTCTAATAATAACCATGAATCTGTTGCTGATTGTCAGGAAAATCCCACCCAGTTCACTAATGTCCTTTTAAGGAAGGAAACTACATTCCTTACCTTGTCTGGCCTACATGTGACTCCAGACCCACAGTAATGTGTTTGACTCTTAAACTGTCTGCTGGACAATTTGGAATTACCAATAAATGCTGACCTAGCCATAAACGCCCTCATCCCATGGATAAATATATTTTTAAAAAATTGATCCAAGGAATGTCCACCCTGAAGAAGTTTTGCTCTTCCAGCTTGATGAAGAGTCAGCTAGACTTGAAACATTAGCTTGCTGTGTCTCCATGGATGCTGCCTGACCTGTTGGGATTTCTAGCATTTTTGTTTTCGTTTGACCCAATGTGTCTGTCCTGGTCCTTTGAAAAAAGTCTTATTCAGTGAAGACCCACCCTTTCCACGTCATGAGGAAAATCTGTCCTTCACAAGTATATATCCAGTCCCCATTGGAAGTGCATCTCAGATCATAAGAGCTCACTCAAAAATTATCATCTTGTCTCATTATTTTACTCATGACATTAGATCTTTGTCCTCAAGCTGTTGATCCAGTGAAAATGGTTTCAATTTATTTAGTCTACCAAAGCCCCCTCATAAGATCTCCTCTTAAACTCCTCTCTTCTAAACAGAGCAGCTCCAACTTGTCTAGTCTCTCTAAATAGCTGAAATCCTTCAGATCTGGTATAAGTTTGGTAAATCTGTTTCCCCTTCGAGCCCTTGACATCTTTCTTAAAGTGCATTACCCAGATTAGGCACTACTGTAGTTGAGGCCTAGTTCTGTCTTTAGAAATATGGTGTCAGAATAGTTTTACCATTATTCCAACAATCAAGTGAATGAATGTGCCACCCAGCCACTGAACAATGTGGGTCTGAATGCCATAGACTTAGTTCCTGATATGTGCTGTTCTGGTGACCTCAGCCAGTGGAAGTGGTTAGGTGGCTCCAGTCCAATCTTAATGGTTGGATAGAATCAGGCCAGGGGTCTCCATTACTTATCACCACCACTATCTTTTAGTTAGAAGCTGACGTCTCAGGACAACGGGTATTCTGACTCTGCTGTGATGCATAATGCTTCCAAATAGCCCACGACCATATTCCATGTTCACATATGTATGGTGGGTACGGTAAGAGAGAAAATGTCACCATCTATTCAACTGTAATCCAAGTCTGAAGGAGATGATTTTGAAGAGTACAGGGAAAAGCATAATTTAATTGTTTAAATCTCCAATTTTTTCTGGTAATCTAAATGTCATTGATGCAGACTGACTTTCAACCACGAAGTATCAATCTTGATTAGTAAATATAGCCAGTACATTTTGTAATCTGCCATTGTTTGCTTGTAGATTTTGATTGTGGTCTTGCTGTAAGCCAGTTTTTTTTTTTTTTTTTTTTGTTTTGTTTGAAGTGTTTGAAGTGCTCCTATTTTGTCATTTTTTAACCCTGTTATTCTGTCTTCCGGACCATCATCAAATTCTAGCAGGAACTGATAGTCTACTGAAGGGGCAGCAAACTGAGATGAGAAGCCCCTTTATTTCCACGCCACTCTAGCAAAAGTTACCATCAGTAAAGAGTGTTCTGATAATGCAACAAAGGCTAAAGTAGTGATAATTGCCTGAGTGTCACCTGTAGCCTTGAATTAAGCCATTTTGCTTTTGGTTGCTTATCAAGGTGAGAATTATTAGAGCTTGAGAAGGGAACAGACTCCCTCTCTGGGCCAGTATTAAGCACTCCTAGTTGAGGTGCAGCACAGTTAGGATCAGGGTAAAGCTAATTCTACTTGGCCCCAGGAACCTTCTTTAGCCTACCCTTTCTTGCAACAGTATGACATCTTTGTGAGCTTCCTATTGGTTACCAGTTGATCAAGGGTTGACATTGAACCATGGACCGATATCCATTATGTTAAAAGACTTCCTGTAAGCTCAGCCGAAAAGAAACATCCTCCCAACAGCAATAAACTTAGATTTGACATCTTTAGTAATAAATATCCAATGACATCTTGCGTTAAAGAATGTGGACATTAAGCAGACTTCAAGGAGATAAAAGCAAAATACTGCAGATGCTGGAAATCTGAAACAAACATGAAAAAATGCTGCCGAGATCAGACTGGAAACTTGGACTCTGTTGTTAGATCTCCTAAGTTTCTTCAGTGTTTCACTGTGTTAGACTTCAGGGACCTGACAAAGTACAGTCAAAAAGATAGATTTTAGTAAAAGATTTCAGAAATAAGAGTCAGAAAGGTAAGGAGAATTGTAAGCTAGCATTTCCAGAAGAAGAGGATAAAGTTGGCTAAAAATTCTGTTCACCATGTTGGATGATGAGAGTTGAACTGTCACGAGGTTGGAGTCAGAAGCAAAGAGTAAAGACTGGGACATGGGCTGAGGACGGAGTTTGTAGAGATGGATGAGTGAGACCCTGAAGGAAAATCAGGAACCTTTTTAGTTTTGAATTCAGTGTATTTCCTAGATGATCAGTGGAGGTTGGTTCAGGACAGAGGTTGATGGACGAAGAGGACTTATTGCAGAAAAAGAGATGGACTTTGTACATGAATTGGATTAGAGGAATGCTTGATAGAAGGGCTTTGGAGAATTTAAATCTTGAAGTAATAAAAATAAAGCTCTAGAACGGACATAGAGATCAAGCAGAGAAGAAAAGGGACTAAAGAACGGAGCTGCCGTACATACCGTCAGAAGGAAATTTTTCAATGCCTTGGTTAGACCACATTTGGGAGTACTATCATAAATTCAGGTCTTCGTGTAAAAAAACAGGTAGAAAAACCCTGGCAAAGGGGCAAAAATTATTTGCTGGATTGAAATCAGAATTGGGAGGTTTTACTTAATAGGAAAGATTGAACAGACTTGGGGCTGTCTTCTATGGAAGAGACGGGATTGCAAGAGCATGACTTGACAGAAGTGGCACAGATTATGAAAGGGTTTGATAGGATAAATTTGGAAAATGTTGCCATTTATGAAGACATTAAGAACTAGGGGCTTGTAAATATAAGACAGTCAGTGATAAATGCAGTAGAGAATTCAAGTGTTTAGAATGGGAAACTTCCCACTGCATCTAGTGCTACTGACAATTAGCGTGGATGGAATTCAAGGGGAAGCAGGATAAACTCATGAAGAGCATAGAAGGATGCGGTGATGAGATTACACACAGAAGGAGGAGGCATGTGTGTGTACTAGTTGGGCTGAATGGTCTATTTTGTGCACTAAAATGGAAAGGAAGCAGTTTCGAGAGGGACATAACAACTGAAAGGATGTTGTTTCCTGATAGTGAAGCATCGGGAAGGCTGAATCATTCAGCCCTGAAACGATGTACAGTGTCCTGTCTGTCACCTCCCTGCCCTGTTGCACTATTTTCAGACTCCCTGGATTAGCTTTGAGAGAGGTCGGTTGCAAAAATTTAGGATGCAATGCTTACCCGCCTTGAAACTGAGCTCATCTGACTCCTGGCTGGTGTAATCGTACAAAGCGCGGATTCTGACGCCAGGGACGTTTGTGCCATCCTCACCCAGGGAGTACCCTTTACTTAAACTGTGAAACCAAAAACAAGATAGTGGAATGGCTTGGAGGAAAATTAAATCCACCCATGAACCAGTGATGATAAAGGAAGCTAAGTAGTTGAATTGGATAAATACTTATCCCCTGTTCTGCATCCCAGTTCAGATCTACATTCTCTAGAACTGGACATTCAGTATGAAGGTGTACAAAATTGAGTTTACACAGAGGTTTTTATTTGGGTTTTGCTTTTTCCCCTCTCCCTCATCTTTGCTTGAAGTTGCTCTTTGCTGGGATATGATCATTGAATATGGGAGTAGAAGTGGGCTATTCAGCCCCTCAAGTCTGCTCAGTCATTTAGACATTATACTGATACTTTATATTTGTATCCTTTCAATCATAGGAGCATTTTCTCCCCATTTACTGTGTTAGCCTCATGATTTTGAATAATTCGATAAGATCTCTCAGCCTTGTCTTCTCCAAGGAGCAAAGTCCCAACTTATCTAACCTATCTTGATCATTGAATTTCCTCATCCTTGGAAATCTCTAATTGTTTTCGAATATCTTCACATCCTTCCTGAAATGCAGCAATACTCCAGTAAACTAGTGTCTTATATTGATATAAATTGTGGACACTTGCTTTCATTGCTTTCTCTGATTTGCACTTTTCTGCAGGAAAATCCAAACTCTGAGCCTGTGGTTTGTGGCTACCTATGCTTTTAGCTTTTTTAAAAAAAAAAATGGATAATTTCCAGCGTGCTCAGGGATAGCTTCATGTTTGAAGATTCAAACGATTTGGGTTTTATCTTCTGCTCTGAGCTGAGCTACCTGATTTATTCTGGACTAGACAGGCTTAGATTTATTTGTCGTCCTTCACAACATCAGAAAGTCTGCAATGTTAAGTGTAGTCACTGTTGTAATGTGCAATGTGTTTGCACACAGCAAGATCCCTCAGGATCAGCTGTCTGCACTGCGAGACCTTCAATCTCAAATGCCTTTGGCAATTGTGATGCAAATAGTAATGGTAGTATTATCAAACACTGGTTCAATAAATTTATTCAGTCAGTAACTGAACAGCCTCAGTTTTTGTTATCTCTGGACAGCAAAGGCAAGAAGGGCCACACAGGTGATCTCTGTCCCCTGGGTATGGATTTAGTTATGGCTCATGTTACTAATTTTCAATGTTCAGGAGCCCCAGCTAGGACTGAGGACTAAGTCGGGCCTGGCTATTTCCTACAGTGGAAGCACGTGCTTACCCACGTGAATACTAATTGTGTTGAGTTTTTGGAGGGATAGTTAGCACACAGAAAAACATCAAATGTTGGCATCTTCAGGAAGGTGAAGGAGAAGACTGGCAGAGAGAGGGGAAAAAATACACTGCAGTCTGAGTCAAATTGAACGTTGGAAGGTCACTCCCTAGCACCAGGAATTGCTATCTGTAACACATTACAACTCTTGATATATCACCTTAAGCTTTGAAGAACCACCTTGTCTCCTTCCTTCTTCCCTTTCCCTGTCTTGCCTGCAATTTTCTCTCTCTCTGGACTCCATTCCTGTGGAATCAAAAGAAAGTTTGTTAGGTGCTGTTAAGGAAGGACAAGCCTAGTCTCTCAATAAATTAATCAGCTGGCAATCTCATTAATTATAATGTTTTTCTTGGCAATCTGGGACCAAGATGGGGAATTCAAAATTAGTGTCTTCTAACGCAATATGTGAATGTAAACATTTAACTCGAATGATATATTCTGGAAATTGTTCTAACCCAGCAGAAAACCTTTCGGTTCTGAAGAAGAGTCATTGGACTTAACTGCTTCTCTCTTTACAGATGCTGCCCTACCTGCTCAGTTTCTCCAGCACTCAGTCAGTTCAGTAGGCCATTCTGTCTGTTTGTCCACAAGAGCTGCTCAGTTACTGCCCATTCCATGGTCCTTTCCCTATACCCTAGCAAATCTCTCTTTTACATGCTTCTCCAACAGCTTTTCAAAAATCATGCTTTTAGGCAGTGCAATCCATTGCTATATTAAAGGTTTTCCTCATGTTGCCAGTGGTCCTTTTTTCCAACCATATTCTGTCTACATCCTCTGAATTTGATCCTCCCACTGATGGGAGCAGTTTCATTTTACCTACTCTGTCCCTACCATGACTGAAGCTTTTGTTTTACCTTGACTTTTTTTAAAATCGGCTGTGGCAATGCTCACCAGGATAGAAATTGCATTTACATAGTGTCTTTCGCATCCTCAAGTCTCAAACTCGCCTTGGCAATCTAATCACACAAGTGTAGATAGTGTTGTTTTCATGGGCCAGTGGTGGCAGCCATTCTGTAGTCATCTCAGTAAAGAGATTCTAAAGAATGATCACTTCACCTGAAACATTGACTCTACTTTCTCTCTACTGATGCTGCTAGATCTGCTAAGTTTCTCCAGCTAATTCTGTTGCTTTTTTTTCAATAAAGATATTGTTGCCTTATAGGGAGTGCAAGGAATGTTCACCAGACTTATTCTGAAGGTGATGAGAGAATACAATGGAGAGATTGGGTCTGCATTCCCTAGAGTTTTGGAAAAATGAGAGGTGATCTCATTGACACTTACATAATACTTAAAGGGATAGACTGCATTGCAGGTAACATATTCCCCCTGGTCAAGGAGTCTAAAACCAGGAGACCGTCTTAACAAAAAAATACTTGGGTCTGAGATGAAGAGAAATCTTAATTCAGAGGGTGGCGAATCTTTGGTATTCTCCACATGTAGAAGGCTGTGAAAACTTAGCAGTTTGGTATTTTTAAGTAGAGATTGACTGATTGATTATCAAAAAAAAACAATAGTGTAAAGGATTTGTGGAGATGATGTAAAAGGCATTGACGTGTTCAATCGGTCATGATCATATTAAATGTTGGAACAGGCTGAAAGGCCTACTCCTGGTCCTACATTCCCATGTCTCTCACTGAACAAATGTTGGGCAGATTATCAGTGGAAAAGGGGCAGTGTCACAGGATCCATTTGACCAAGGTAAATGGGGTCTCCATTTTATGTTGCATCTGAAAGATGTCAACATTGCATTGTCTTAGGAATACACTGAAAGTTCACCTGGATCATGTGCCGGAGTAGAACTCGAGCCTTCTGACTGAGAAGTAAGCGATACAAGCTGACGTAAAGTTAAGGTTGTGTTGCTTCCCTAAGCGCAACAATATTCCAAGAAACAACAGAAGAATACAGCACATGATGCTGAAAGATGCAAGTCTTTGATACTTTGTAAAACTTCAAATACAGTTACTTCTGTGATGTAGGAAATCGGCAGACGGTTTGCACACTGCCAGCTCCTAATAATAATCAGAACATCTGTTTTTGTGATGTTGATTGAGGGATTAATATTGTCCATGTCTGGAGAGTAATCCTCAGAATTTTTGTAGAATTTTAACTTCTGACAGCTCAGCACTGCCTCAGTACTGCACTTAGTCTAGATTCTGGACTTGTGTTCCAAGCAGTATTTGCACTCGCAACCTGCTGCATTGGAGGCAAAGATGTTAATCCGTTTAGTTGTAGCTGAATACTTAGTTCCCCAGTCCTGGAACGCTGTTAGAGGATTAAAATTCAAATTTGTCAGAGGTTTAAACAAAATGAAAAATGTTATGTTGTTTGGAGATAGACAATTTGAATCAGGTTCAGTTTAAGTGGGTGGAATGATTTTGCACTCACCTCAAAATGTGGCCAGTTGGTTGGCATCCCTGGACCATGTGTGTTGCGCCACCACTTCAAATCATTCTGCTCATTTACTGAGAGTACAGTCTGGTGTAGATCTTTGAATATAGACCGGAAGCTGGAGAGAGAGTCAGGAAATGGAAATTTATCAAAAGTTCTGTGCAGTTTACCCCATGTATCCCTTGAAATGCAGTCATTTCCACTATAAAGGTGAGGAACTTTCCTGGCTAAGACCGATTCAGTGATAGGCAAACTGCATGTAGAAACAATCTTAAAATCTAGTTAACTCAAGTGTTCCTCACATACACCCCATATGTCCCAAAGAGGAAACTTTCTCAACTCTCTTTTTTTTAATTCGTTCACAGGATGAGCATCGCTGGGTAGGTAAGCATTTATTGCCCATCTCTAATTGCCAGAGAGCAGTTAAGTGTCAATGTAGGTCACAGCAGGTAAGGATGGCAGATTTCCCTCCCTAAAGGGCACTAGTGAACTGGGTAGAGTTTTGTTAGTCACCAATGGTTTACGGTAACAATTAGGTTTATCTATTTAAATATTGAATTCAATTCAAATCTTAACCTTATGGGGGTGTTGGGGTTGGAGGAGTGAACCAAGGTGTCCTGGAAGGAATGGTCCCTGGAGAAGGCTAATGAGGGAAGGAAGGGGAATTTGTGTCTGGTGATGGCATCCCACTGGACATGGCAGAAATGCAGCTCATAATCCTTTGGACATGGATGCTGGTGTGGGAGGGAAGAGAAGGGGTGAGGGCAGAAGTGCGGAAGATGAGGCAGACACACTGTCAACTTGTCAACTCCAATGTGGGGAATCGTTGGACAAGGAAAAAGGTGAACTTTTTTGCGTCCAACCCCACCCCACCGCGCTCCCACCCCCTTCCGCCCCAACTCCCATACCAGGTCATGTGTCTGGAGTTGGTGGAAATGATGGCTCATAATCTTTTGGATGTGGATGTTGGTGGGAAGGTGACGGTCAGGGAACCGTATTGGTGGTGTGGGAGGGAAGGAGTGAGGAGAGAAGTGTGGGAGATGAGTCCGACATGGCTGAGAGTCCTGTCAACCATGGTGGTGGAGAATCCTCAGTTGAGGAAAAAGGTGAACATTTCTGAGACCTCGCATTCACATACCAGGTTTTGTCATCACTTGGGCTGCTACCATAACCAATGGTTCCCATTAATAGCAGTACTAATTCTCCCATGCTGACCTTTACCCATTCCTTTGTCTGTCCAAATACTGTTATCTCTGTGGGCTCCATCTCCATGCCCCCCCACCCACTCTCTTTCTCTCTCTCTCTGTCTGTCTCTGTCTCTCACGCTCGCGCACACTCGCACTTGTATCAAGAAGGGTCCCAACCCGAAACATCAATTCTCCTACCCCTCTGATGCTGCCTGACCTGCTGTGTTCTTCCAGCTCCACACTGTGTTGTCTATATCAATTTGTTTTTGTTTTTGTTTCCCATTTATTTATTTGTTTAAACAGAGAGTCAGTCTGGCCTCCAGGTTGAATGCATGCAAATGAAAACTATTTTGAAGTCAAGCAAAAGAGTTCTCACTGTTGTCCTGGCCAGTTTGTTCTCTTGTCCCCCTTGGCAATTGTTTGTTCAGATGAAAGATAATGTATTTGCATTTCGTAAAGTCACTGCTGCTTGCCTACTGGAAAGGAATGGGAATGTGGCCTACTAGAGTACCGCAAAAGTAAACTACTCTCACTTCTCGTAGCTTAACTAGCAGTTATTGCCAGTCTTGCTCTCTTCCTCTTCTTCCCCACACCCCCCTCCCACCTAATATTGTCAGCTCTCTATTTGCATAAACCCATTTTTCTTCCTCTCTCTGGACTCTGTCTCCATGTTCTGCATTCATTCCACCCACCACCGAGACTAGACTCAATGTTAACTTGTTTTTCTCTCCCTTACCAAACACTGTATTTCTCCAGCAATCTTTTTGTTGGAATTAAGACAGTTTGTTAACACCACACTAACTGAACAATGATCAGGGGATTGAATCTTCTACCACTCTTATAGCTAGGGCTGAAGTGGAAGCCTGGGCTATATCAAAGCTAATGCTCGTTTCGTAAATCATGAACAATTCAAACTGAGCATCATAAAATGTAAAGGCTGTCATTTTATTTTTGTATTTTTGATTGTAGAATGAAATGGGAAAAGGAATACTTTAAAAACCAAGGATTGTGGAAGGGAGTACTGGGCTTTTTCAAATGCAAGACACCAGCAGTTATAGTAATTGCTGTTTACAGTGTTGTTTGTTCAATCAGTGGGAAAGGTTATTACAGACGAGCTGGAGCCAGGGAGTGAACAAAGAAATTTGGCCAGCTACAAGTAGCTGATTAACAATGGTCATCATTCCATAAACCAGTGACAGACCTGCCTGCCAACAACTGTGTGATGGCTTTCAGGTAGTTTAATGACTTGTGGGCATGAACAATTACTCTATCATTAGACCTCCTGAAAGGAATATGCTGTTTGTCTTTCTGCAGTTTAAAAAAAATCCTACTGTACAAAAAGTTAGAGTATTTTACTTCACTAGTAGCTTGTAACCAATAAATCAGACACTTTATAAATTGTGGAGTAGTCACTCTATGCCTCCTAGAGGCAAGTGCAAGTATTTGGAGAAAAGAGAGATTAATGAACAGCCCGCAAGGATCATCTCTGCAAATCTCGTAATCAAGGGCTGTTGAACTGCCTCCCCAGCTTTTCCCACCACTCATAACACCAATTTTTTTTTCTATTGGGATACTTTTAGAAGGGGGGGTTGGTGTTTTAAATCAGTAGAATTATGTTGATTAATCATAATTATTTACCTGTAGTTAGAATCAATGTATTTGTGTGCAGAAATTAGTCCATAATTTGTCAACTTGAGTCTAAAAGACTGGTAATTAGAGGACTTTCTTTGTACTTATATAAAATTTTTAACTTATGTGATGACCCCAGGAATAGTGGGGCTTGATTTTCAGTGCCCTATGCCAGTGAGACATTACACAATCGATCTTGTAGAAAATTTACAATATTAAAACTTATCATTCAGTCCACTCCTGATCCCACTTTCCTGCAAGTCATGATTCTTCAAGTAGACATTTGTATGCATTAAGTCTCCCCTCAGCCACCTCTATTCCAAGCAAAACAACATTCAGATTTGGGATGACAAGTGCTTAGTAACATCCTATCAGTCACTGACCATCTCCATGAAGAGGGAGTTTAACCATTTTCCTTGATATTCAACAGTATTACTGTCACTGATTCCCACACTATCAACATCCTAGATGGATTACCACTGACCAGAAATTGAACTGGACTAGCCCTATAAAGACTTTCCATAAGCAGCTCAGAGACTGGGAATTCCGTGGTGCCTAATTAACCTCCTACCTCCCTAAAGCTTGTCCATATTTGAGGTACAAGTTAGGATTGAGAAGGAATAATTTCTGGTTGCCTGAAGGTGTGCAGTCCAACAACACTCGAATAGCTTGACAACATCCAAGTGTCTGACTGGCACTCTATCCTTCACTTTGAGCATTCTCTCCATTCATCAACCATTCACCATCTACAAGACACTCCAGCAACTTGCCCACCCTCCTTTGATAGCACCTTCCAAACCTGTGACCTTTATCACCTGGACGATCAAGGGCAGCAGATGCATCAAAACACCACCTCTTACAATTTCCCCAGCAAGCCATGCACCATTCAGTCATGGAACTATATTGCCATTCCTTTCACTGACATTGGGTGAAAGTCCTGAAACTACATAATAGAACTGTGGATTTACCTACATGAACTACAGTAGTTCAAGAAAGTGACTCACCACCACCTTGAGGATACTTAGGGATGAACAATAAATGCTGGTCTATATAATAAAAGGAAAATCTGCCCTGGCAACATCATCTGTTGAAGTTTGGAGTAGTGAAAGATGGCCTTAAGAACATCACCCGCATGGAAAGAGAAAGTGCCATTCAACCCATCAAGTTGTTCACTTCCTGCAATGCTGATTTCCAGTCTATTGAAGGTTTAACCCTGACCATTTCATACATTGTTCCACCAATTCTATCTCTACTTCTAATCTCTTAACTTTTGTGCACACACTGAAGTCAATCAAAACCCCTTCAGTACTTTCAATCATTATTCGGTCAACTTCAGTTGATATTTACAAGCTGTTTTCTGCTTTTTCTTAATTCAGTTAGCTTGGCTCTTTCATAGGTCAAAAAATCTGCCTGCAAGAAAACTCAAGGTTATGGAGTTGGGAGGGCCAGTGAGAAAGTGGAGTTAAGGATAGGATCAGATCAACCATGACCATACTGAATGGTGAAGAAAGCTTGAGGGGGTGAATGGCCTATTCCTAATTCTTGTTTTGATTTCCAACTTCATAGATGTTTTGATATCATCTGGCCACATTTTTAAAGCACCCTAATTGGCCTATCATTGATTGTGGTAGCTGGGAATATACATACATGAAAAATATTTCTCCTAATCTTATCAAAACTTAAGCTATAGCATCTCTGTGCATTTTATTAGATGTTAATTTAGATGATTATGCAAGAGAATAGATAACTGGTTCATAGCTAAAAACTGGATTATGTTTGTCTTTTGAGATGGGAAGATACTGAAAATTATTTTATTTGAATATATCCAGTTTTCTCACCTGAATAATCTGACTTTTGCTGAGGTCCACAGGTACGAACAATACCAAAGCACCACATCTAAGTGACCATTGTCTGTTATGGACTTGGGCAGAAGATGTCACTGCATAGTTGATTATAAGACCTGACCCTGATCCATGCATGTTCTTGCTAGTCTGTCACTGTGAACCGGTCAGTGAAAACAGAGACCAAAGTGTAGCTCCCCAACACCTGATCTCCTTGAGAAATTATCTCCATATGCAAGGTGATCAAACTTAGTCTGTGTTAACTTTGTACCTTGTTGGCTGAAGCCTTTAACCACTGGCTTCACAGAATGTTTATTTACATCTTTCAGGTAGCCATCAACTTATTGCTGTCCATACATAGAGTTATTAAGGCAGAGAAGGACATCATTCAGTCCATCAAGTCATGCCAGCTCTCTAAAGTCAGCCCAATTCTCTCCCTATCCTTGTTTACTGCAAGTTTATTTCTCTCAAATGCTCATCCAATTTTCTTTTGAAATCATTGATCATCAACACTTCCACTACATTCTCAGATAGGAGTTCCCTAACCTTGTCATTATCACACAGTGTGTAAGGAAGTTCATTCTTGTGTATCCCATAAATCTGTGACCCTTAGCCCTTGTACTATTATCTTATGGTAAAGACCAGTTTTTGGTGGATTGCAAAGTACCTTTCATTGTTGGTGACATCGAGGTGCCGGTGTATGGACAGGAAGATCTGTTTGAGAAAGATAATGCGTTTCTGCTCCAGCTGCTGGCTCTGGTCAAAGACCATCTCCATCTCTTCCATGTATTTTGGATTGTACTTGTTTAAGTCCTCTATCGTCTTTGTGTAGCGCTGCTTAACCTTGAGATGTGGGAGACAGTGGAGAGAAGAGGCTGGGGATGAGTGGACAAAGGAGAAAGAAAGGCAGACAGACACATACTCACTCTTGCCCTTTCCCTTGCCCCACTCTATCTTGCACTCCCCTCTCCATCCCTGGCCCGCCCACTCTGTGCCAATCTCTCTTGCTCAAAATGGTGTTATAGTCCCAATCCAGTACGGAGGAAGGGCTACATTGTCAGAGATGCAGATATTGAGATGAAATGCTGAGGTAGCAAACAGGATCTCAGCCTAAGTAGGGGTAAAAGATCCTAGGATGCTCTTACAGAACAGAAGAGGGAAATTCTCCTAGCTAATATTTACCCCTCGTTCAAAATATGACAATCAGACTCTCCACTCATCACCACAACATGGGAATAACAGCAAAATACTGCAAATGCTAGAAATCTGAAACAAACTCAGAATGCTGCAGAAATTCAGCAGGTCTGGCAACATTTGTGGAAAGAGAAACCAAGATAATGTCGAAGAGTTCAGTGTGACTCTTCGGAACTGAAAGGTGTTAAAAATGGGCTTTTGTCAAAAGTATTCTAAAAAACAACACATACTGCCAGACTTGTTCAGTTTTGCTAGCATTCTGTATTTGTACCATAATATTGGATGTAGCTCTGTACAAATAAGCTTTTCCTACATTAGAACACAGGCCATAAAATGTTTTGGGATCCTGAAAGTGTAAGAAGTGCTTTACAAGGCATGATTTTTATAAATGAACAGTGGGTGTTGTAAAACCCTGAAAAAATCTACACAGACATCATTTATTCCCTTTTAATATAACCACAGTGTCACTGCTTGATCAGGATGGGTTGTGAGATCAGGGTGATTGTACCCTTGTACATTGATTGATTGGACACACGTTCCCAAGCACTGACAATGTAAGCAACTCAATTCTATTGTGGCCTAAAGGCCCTCCGCTTCTTCCTGTCCCGCAGGCCCGACCAGTCCCCCTCCACTTACACCCTCATCCGATTAGCCGAACTCGTCCTCACCCTCAACAACTTCTCTTTCAATTCCTCCCACTTCCTACAGAGACAGGGGGTGGCCATGGGTACCCGCATGGGCCCAAGCTATGCCTGCCTCTTTGTAGGTTACGTGGAACAATCCCTCTTCCGTAGCTACACTGGCCCTAAACCCCACCTCTTCCTCCATTACATTTATGACTGTATTGGCGCCGCCTCGTGCTCCCACGAGGAGCTCGAACAGTTCATCCGCTTCACCAACGCCTTCCAACCCAACCTTAAGTTCACCTGGACCATCTCTAATACCTCTCTCTCCTTCCTGGACCTCTCTGTTTCCTTCTCTGGCAACCACCTAGAAACCGATATCCATTTCAAGCCCACTGACTCCCACAGCTACCGAGAATACTCCTCCTCCCACCCACCTTCCTGCAAAAATAGCCCCCTATTCCTAATTCCTTCGCCTCCGCCACATCTGCTCCCAGGATGAGGCATTCCACTCCCGTACATCTCAGATGTCCTCGTTTTTCAAGGACCGCAACCTCCCCCCGCCCCCCCGCCAGTGGTCGAGAACGTCCTCAACCGTGTCTCCCACATTTCCCGCAACTCATCCCTCACACCTCCTCCCCGCAATAACAACCAAAACAGAATCCCCCTCGTCCTCACGTACCACCCCACCAACCTCCAGATCCAACGCATCATCCTCCGACACTTCCGCCATCTGCAATCCGACCCCACCACCAAAGACATCTTTCCCTCCCCACCCTTATCTGCTTTCCGGAGGGACCACTCTCTCCGTGACTCCCTTGTCCGCTCCACACTCCCCTCCAGCCCCACCACACCCGTCACTTTTCCCTGCAACCGCAGGAAGTGCTACACCTGCTCCTACACCGCCCCCCTCACCCCCATCCCAGGCCCCAAGAAGACATTCCACATCAAGCAGATCTTCACCTGCACATCTGCCAATGTGGTATACTGCATCCGCTGTTCCCGTTGTGGCTTCCTCTACATCGGGGAAACCAAGCGGAGGCTCGGGGACCGCTTTGCAGAACACCTACGCTCGGTTCGCAATAAACAACTGCACCTCCCAGTCGCGAACCATTTCAACTCCCCCTCCCATTCCTCAGACGACATGTCCATCCTGGGCGTCCTGCAGTGCCACAACGATGCCACCCGAAGGTTGTAGGAACAGCAACTCATTTTCTGCTTGGGAACCCTGCAGCCCAATGGTATCAATGTGGATTTCACAAGCTTCAAAATCTCGCCTCCCTCTACCGCATCCCAAAACCAGCCCAGCTCGTCCCCGCCTCCCTAACCTGTTCTTCCTCCCACCTACCTGTTCTTCCTCCCACCTCAAGCCGCACCCCCATCCCCCCCCCTTGACCTGTCCGTCCTCCCTGGACTGACCTATCCCCTCCCTAACTCCCCACCTACACTCACCTTTACTGGCTCCATCCCCGCCTCTTCGACCTGTCTGTTTCTTCTCCTCTATCCATCTTCTATCCGCCTCCCCCTCTCTCCCTATTTATTTCAGAACCCCCTTCCCCTCCCCCATTTCTGATGAAGGGTCTAGGCCTGAAACATCAGCCTTCCTGCTCCTCTGATGCTGCTTGGCCTGCTGTGTTCATCCAGCTCTGCACCTTGTTGTCTCAATTCTATCGTTACCAGCCTCTTGTAACTGAACTTTGTTGTTCATATGGATAGGCAGAGAATTGGGAACTCTGAAAGAGACTTGTGTGATTAAAATGTGAAGCCTTGGTAGCTTTCTGTCAGTCTGCTAGTTAACACATTGTGCTGCACTGGTGACCTTTGGTTTGGATACATGGCATCAGAGTTTTGAAGGCCTGTGGAGGCTCATGGACCCTGTGTTGCCCCAATCCTGCACCGAAGTTATTCTTAAAATAGCCAGGTGAGGCTAAACCACAAACGCCACGTACCAAATTGGAGTAATCAAGTGTCCTATTAAGATCCCACTCCTATTCCAACTGAAGTCAACACACAAAAAAAAAAGCAACACTCAACCCCACCCAGGAGATTCAAGCAGCTACAATCTTGAGCCGGCAGCTTTGGCCTTTATCATTGACAATTTTTCTACCTGCAATTCAGGAGGACACTTCTACCTTGAGGCCCTCTCATCTGCCTTGATCGCTCCCATCTGAAACCATGGGCCTGTGGCTCTGTCATTGTAGGTGGGCTTCATACTGGCCTGATAGTTTCAGGATCCTTATTCGGATAGCAAGTGAGCTTCCCTCCAGTCATTGACACAACAATGCAAAATCATGCCACACCTACTCTGTTCAGTACTGGGCCCAGAAATGATTCCAACATTAGGTCTTACCCATTTGCTCCCGGTCTGCGCTATCCTATTTTAAGAGGGAAAATGCAGATATTTTAATCAACCTGTTCAGAGACATTATTACACACCACTGGAGCAGTTGGGACTTTTCGTCTGGGCCTTCTGGTCCAGAGGTAGGGATACAACCACTGCACCACAAGAGCCCTCAAGGGGGCGAATCTCCATTTAATGTTTGTGGAACAAGTCTGAATCTGAACCTGGAGCGTCATAACCTGCAGGGCTGCAGACCAAATGCTGGAAAGTGGGATTTTGCTGGGTGGCTTGTTTCTCAACCAGCGCAGGCACAGTGGGCCAGGTGATCTTCAACAGTGCTGTAAACCTATGATGATTTCAGATATTTTCCAATCAACTTGTTCAGAAGACATTATTACACATCTCTGGAGTGGATGGGATTTGAACCTGAACTTCCTGGCTCAGAGGTAGGGACACTACCACTGTGCTACAAGAGCCTTCAAGGGGGAGAATCTATTTTGACCCCCAGCAAATTGGCGACCCTAGATCTGTGCATTGATGGCTTGTAAAAGAGTGATGACTGGGGTGCTAAAACTGGGTCACCAGAGGGACTGCAAAGAAACAAGGACCATTTGGGATGGATCATAGATGTTATTCTCACTAACAATGCCAACATTCCATGAACAAATTAAAATATTTGCTTCAGGCCACAGTAGCAGGGGTGGAAATGTTCCCACCATGAGACGATTGAGAACAAGAGGGCACAGTTTTAAAAATTTGACAGAAGAAGCAAAGGTGATATGAGGCAACAATCTTCTATTGCAGCAAGTGATTAGGGTATGGAATGTGCTGCTCGAGTATGTAGTGAAGGCAGATTCCTCAAAACATTCAAAAGGGAATTGGAGCGTTATTTAGAAAGAAGGAGCTTCCAGGGTTACAAGGAAATGGCAGGAAAATGGTACGAAGTGAATTGTTCATTCAGAGGTCCAGTATAGACACAGTTGGCTGAATGGCCTCCTTTTGCACTGTAACAAATCTGTCATTCTGTGACCTTTGGGCTGATGAATAATTTAGCCACATTTTTTACTCCTGATTGCAAATGGGACATTGTGTTAGAGGCTGGTATAGTGGTAAGTGTCCCTACTTCTTGATCAGGAGGTCCAGGTTCAAGTACCACCTGTTCCAGATCCATCTAGTAACGTTGATTAAATTAACCATTAGTGGCTGGTATGTTTGAAGATTGCTCAGCACCTTCAGAAGTGGAGGGGAGATTGTTGCTTAGGGCAGGAAGATTTGATCACACGCATTGATCTCTGGACGTGAGTTGTATGAATGTTTAGCATCAGCATCAGGAAGAATGGGTATTCAACTCCAATTTGGGATATATGTACAGAATCTGTGGAAGTACTCCAAGAGAACGCTGTGTTAATATTGAATATTTTCAAGACAGAGGCATAGAGGTTCCTGTTAAACAAGGCAGTGGATGAGTATCAGGACTGGGCAGGAATGTAGATTTGAGATGCTGAGGTGGCATGGTGGCTCAGTGGTTAGCACTGCTGCCTCACAGCGCCAGGGACCTGGGTTTGATTCCAGTCTCAGGCAACCCTCTATGTGGAGTTTGCACATTGTCTGTGTGGGTTTCCTCCAGGTGCTCTGATTTCCTCCCACAGTCCTATGGCTTACGTTGAAGGTGTCTTATTTAAACTTCTCACAAATAGCCCTAGTTTGCTGATATCTAAGGGCACAGCTGGCATGCTTCCAGCATTTGCCCTAAGTGTGTTACTATTAGGGTGGCACGGTGGCTCAGTAGTTTGCACTGCTGCCTCACAGCGCCAGGGACCTGGGTTTGATTCTGTCCTCGGGTGACTGTCTATGTGGAGTTTGCACATTCTCCCTGTGTCTGCGTGAGTTTCCTCCGGGTACTCGTTTCCTCCCACAGTCCAAAGGTGTGCAGGCTAGGTGGATTGGCCATGCTAAATTGCCCGTAGTGTTCAGTGGTGTGTAGATTAGGTGGGTTATGAGGGATGGGTATGGGTGGGATGCTCTGAGGGATGGCGTGGACTTGTTGGGCCGAAGGGCCTGTTTCCACACTAGGAATTCTGTGTGCAGGTTAGGTGGATTGGCTGTGCTAAATTGCCCATAGTGTCCAACGATGTGGAGGGTAGGTGAGAAATGCAGGGTACAGGGATAGAGTAGGGGGATGGGGTCTGAGTGGGATGCTCTTCAGAGGGCCAGTGTGAACTCAATGGGCTGAATGGCCTGCTTCTATCTAGGTAATATGATTCAGATCAGCCATGACCTTATTGAATAGCCTACTGCTGCTGTTAGTTCATTTATTTACATGATACGATCATTACCACATTGCTGTTTGTGGGAGTTTGCTGTGCATATTTTGACATCTGCACTCCTTACATTCCAATACTGCCTGCACTAGGGACGTAAATATTGTTTAACAAATATATGTATAAACTATTAAAATTATATCATGTAACCATTTAAATGTTAACAGGTGTGTTTATTGAAAATAAAGTACTGATACATTTCTTCTTTCAGCTCTGTAGTTTAAATTATACTCACCAAAGATCAAAAAACAGAATGGATAAATCTACAGGAATAACTTTAGCCATGTCTTACATGATATCCTCAAACACAATGAATGCCTTTCCAAAAATAAAGTCTCCTTCCTGCAGATTTTTTCTAATCCGTTTTAAACATTTACTGTAATATACAAATGACCAGACCAACACTTACTGATTAACTGTTTACTATTTTAAATCCCTAGACTGCATGTAATTTGAGTCATTCTAAGGATGTGGAAAGTGATATATAAATGCAAGTGTGTTTTTTTTTCCTTTTGACATTGATGCACACAACACTCAAATTTACTTTCTCACCTTTTCTACTTCCTGGTTACACTTCTCTCTATCCCGCTGGAGTTTGCGCTGCTTTGATGCAGATGTTGCCTGGTTGGCCTTGCCACTGTTTTCGCGGACGATGGACACCCGCTCCTTTTTGCGTTTGGTGTGGTACAGTTTCTTCAGCTTCTCTGTCTGAGCAAGGGGTTTAAAGAAGATGCGCAGGTTAGTGTGTCCACACCCTCCTTGGAGAAGGGGGCATGGGCGTTTGAGAGAGGTGTACAAGAGTTTGACAGATTCAGGAAAGGTGGACAAAGGAGTGTTGTTCCCATTGGCAGACAGTACAAGAACGAAGGGCACAGGTTGAATATTTTGAGTGAGAGTTGCAATGGGAAATGAGGGGAAGAATTTTTTTTAAGCAGCCACTAGCAACGACCTGAAACTTACTACCCATGGAGCATTATGAAAGCAGAGACGATCAATGATTTGAAATGGAAATTGGATGGGTGAATGAAGGAATACATTTGCAGAGCTATGGAGATAGAACAGGGCACTTTCTAGACTGGTTTACACAGCTGGCATGGACTTGATGGGCCAAATGGCCTCCTCCTGTACCATCAAGTATCATGCGACCTGGAGATGCACTAGTGCCATAAAGATAATGAGTTCCCAGGGACAGAATGAGTTAAATAAATTTGAATCGGGCTGACAAAACATAATCTTGTGCCTTGGGACGGGGTAGAAGAAGAAAAAAAATCACCCTTGGATCATGGTGTTGACCATTAACCATCTTTTTCTAGAATAGAGCTGAGGGACTGCACTTATGTGGAGAGACTGGAGAAAGTGGATTGTTCCCCCTTAGAGCTGCAAAGGTTATGGGGAGATTTAATAGGTGTTCAGAGTTACAAAGGGTTTTGATACAACAGAGTAGAAAACATTGCTCCTATTGATCAGTAACCAGTGGAAACAGGTTGAGGTTGATTAGCAAAATAACTAAATTGTTACAATCTGGGACGCACTTCTTAAAAGAACAACAGAAACAAATTCAATAGTAACTTCCAAAAGGCAATTCAATAAACATTTGAATTTTTAAAAAATTCATGCATGGGATGTGGGCGTCACTTGCTCCATCCCTAGTTCTTCTTGAGAAGATGGTGGTGAGCTGCCTTCCTGTAATTGCTGTAATCCATAAACTATAAGTAGACTCACAGGATTTTGTCCCAATAGAATAGAAGGAATACCTATATATTTCCAAGTCAGGATGGGGAGTGGTTTGGAAGGGAACTTGCAGGTGGGCGGTATTCCCATGTATCTGCTGCCCTTGGTGGAAGTGGTCATTCATTTGAAATGTGCTTTCTAAGGGGGTTTGGTGAATTTCTGCAGTGTAACTTGTAGATGGTACACACTGCTGTTTGGCATAATTCAAAGGACATTAGGGAATAGAGCTGGGGATGAGACAAATTTGTTTTCAAAAAGCCAACATAGACATCAGGAGCTGAATGACTTACTTCTGTGCAGCAGGATTCCATGAGAGATAGTTACTTGGAAATGGTTTGTCAGCTCAGCACAGGAGAAGCTTTGTGGCCTCATGCACCAAGAGTGACCACTTGACCAACATCCCAGAAGACACCCCAGCATATGCCAGCTACTTTAATACAGGGGGTACAAAAATTATCTTTCAATGAAGTTTTCCTTAGAACAGAGAAGGCGGAGGAGGAACCTGATTGAGGTGTACAAAATAATGAAGGACATAGGGAGAAACTTTGCCCCTTAGGGGGAATCAATAACTAGGGGGACATATTTAACATAAATAGTACAATATTTAGAGGGGAATTAAGGAAGAATATTTTCACCCTGATTGTGGTGGGTATCCAGAGCTCGTTCCCTGAAATGCTCGTAGGGGGAGGAAATAGGACAATGTTTAAGAGTATTTTGAAATGATTAATAAATGATGAACATTTGAAGTGTCATAGTATACAAAGCTATGGGCCAAGTCCTGAAAAATGGGACTAGAGTAGATAGGTGCTTAATGACTGGCGTGGATATGATGATGGACCAAAGGGCCTATTTCCCTGCTGTGTAATTCTATGGCTTCATTACTGTCACAATAAAGGTTGCAAACCAGTAGTGGATAGCTGTTCGATTGGACAGAACACTAATATTGGTGAAAAGAGGGACATGTCGCTGAAAGGTTTTTGACTTGCACTCATTAGGACAGATGCAAGAATATCAAATTTCAAATGAACACCATAAGTTATTACAGATTTGAATATTGCTGCAAAGAGATACAGGTTGCACTCATCAGGATAAATACAAGAATACCAAATTTCAAATGATCACAACAATTTATATAACAAGAGGACTTTAACTGCTTAAGATGAATAGTCAACTTGTCAGTCAAATTTGACTTGCCAAGCAGTCAGCATCTGTTGTGTAATTTGTGATCATAGATGGGGAGAAACTTTTCCCCTTCGTACAGGGATCAATAACCAGGGGGCACATTTAAGATAAAGAGCAGGATGTTTAGAGGGGAATTAAGGAAGAATTTTTCTGAGTGCAAAACGGAATGCTTTGTTAACCTGTTTCCCTGCAGCAATATTCAAATCTGTAATAACTTGTACTGTCCACTAAGTGGCACCACAAACTGTGAAATGATCAGAAGTGGGGAATTTGTTCAGAATCAAAGTCACCACCATGCAACATCCAGGAATTAAAACAAATTTGTCATTGTTCATGAATCATATAGTTAAGTCCTTTAACATTTCCAGGAATGATAATTCGAGGCTGATTATTACGCCGCAGTCGAAGAATTTCACTTTCAATTATTGTGTAGGTGCTGGGAGTGGAACTAAAGCATTGGATTGAACATAGACATGGTGTTCACTGTTACTCCCTGTCCATACTCCTGTGTGAAGAAAGACAGTCTTGCACAAGATGTCAATGATGTTAACCTGCTCACACACCAATGGTCAGCTTTATTAAAATTAATAGTTCTAGTGTGGTTGTTTACTTTTAATATGGTGGGGACGTTGAGAATATGTAATGTAATGTCAATGGAATGGGTATTTTAGTGTGCACAGCACATTCCCATTTAAAGCAATAAACACTGCCCCTTATGTGGCTTGCATACACCATGCAATCTTTAACATACTTTTTTCAGTTTCTTTGTCCAGGGCTTCTGTGCTTTTCGGAATCCACTCTTCACCTCATGGGTCTCCTTGAAGCCCCCAAAAAATTTCTTGTGGTACGTCTCCCCCTGCCAGTTCCGAATCTTGGCTGTGTCCTCAGTCACCAGCGATTTCTGGATCTGCAGGTGGAGTTCACTCAGTCGGTCTGCAGAGGTAAGGAAGGCATGCCACGCCTTCAACAGAGTACCGTACATAGGACCTGGTGAGTACAATAGACAGGCTGGGTATGCTTGCTATGCAGTTAGTTCTGCTACAAACTCTGATACAGTCCTTTTACAACTTTGGTCATTAAATATCCCATCAGCCTTCTTACAGACACAGTGTGAAAATAGCAGAGGCAATGGCCTAGTGGTATCATCGCTAGATTATTAATCCAGAGACCCAGGTAATGTTCTGATGACCCAGGTTCAAATCCCACTGCAACAGATAGTGGAATTTGAATTCAGTAAAAATCTGGAATTAAAAGTCTAATGATGGCATGAATATGTTGTCAATTGTTGGGAAAAACCCATCTGGTTCACTAATGCCCTTTCGCAACAGAAATCTGCCATCCTTACCCGGTCTGGCCTACATGTGATTCCAGACCCACAGCAATGTGGTTGACTCTCAACTGCCCTCTGGGCAAATAGGGGTTGGCATACATACTGGCCCAGCCAGAGATGCTCACATCCCATGAATGAATTTTAAAAAATCATTCTACTTACAAACTGAGATAGTGCTTGTCCTACTGCTAAAGCCAAAGTGATTCCTGAGATGGCAGGACTAAGGTATGAAGAGAGACTGAATTAGTGAGAACTGTGTTCACTGACATTTAGAAGAATAAGGAGGGGTCTCATAAAAACCTATACAATTCTAACAAGGCTAGACAGGAAAGATGTTGCTAATGACAAGCGAGACCAGAATGAAGGGTCACAGTTTAAGGATAGGGGGTAGGCCACATAGGACTGCAATAAGGAGAAATTTCTTCACCCATGGAGTGGTGAGCCCATGGAATTCTCTGCCACAGAAAGCGTTTGAGGCCAAAACATTGAATGTTTTCAAGAGCGAGATATAGTTCTCAGGGCTAAGGGAATCAAAGGGTATGGAGAGAAAGGGGAACAGGAGTTGGATGATCATCCATGATCATGCTGAATGGCCTACTCCTGTCCTATTTTAAGTGTTATGTTTTTATGAAACACTTATTGCTAAGGCTGCCAATCCTGCTACAGCCAGAGTCAGTATTTAGACAGTTAGCTCTTGCATAGATAATGAAAGAAAGGACTTACATTTGTTTATATCTTTCCACCTCCCCCACCCCAAATTCTTTGTAGCATGGTGTCATTAGAATTTTTACATCTATTTAACAGTCCGCACAGAGTCATCACAAGAGAGGTATCTTCAGCAGTGCGGCACTGACTCAGTATCCTACTGGGAGTGTCAACCTAGGCTTTTTATGCTCATGTCTCTGGGAGTAGAATCAGAACTGTGCCAGTTGGTCTGGAACAATGGGGCAATTTCAGAGTGAAATCAAGAAACACTTTTTCACACGGAGAGCAGTTGAAATCTGGAACTCAATCTCCTGAAAGGCTGTGGATTCATGTTGGGGGACAGGGGGAACAATTGGAGCTTGAAGACTTGTTGGCTAAAAGCACAGAGGATATGGAGAGAAGGTGGTTTAACTGGAGCTAAGGCCCAGACCAGCTGTGAATGAACTGAAAGGCAGAGCAAGTTCAAGGGGCTAAATGGCCTCCACCTCCTCTACTGGGAAGGTCCATGGTTATTTACTTCCCTCGCCTATTACTCAGAGCAGATTTTCTCTGGTACAGTAGTTTATTTATAGGATGTGATGCTGAAGACCAGCCTGCACACCAAACTGACAGTCTTGGCCTGGCAACCTGTCCTGATCTCCAGCGGAACTCTCACGTACACCTTGTTAATAAGAAACCGGTTTCCTATTTCATGCCAAAACCTTCCTTTTTAAAGTTCAAGTCCATTTTAGCTTCCAAATCTGAAGAGACTGTTTCAATGTGTCTCTCCCACTGTTGGACAAAAACAAACGCTTGTTACTCAATATCTCTCTCTCTCTTTCACCCCCCTCTCCTTTAGCCGTCAATCTCCCTCCTCTCTTCTTGTATCTCAGTATCAATATCACTGTGGCAAATGAGACTCCCCTCTTGGTTCATTCATTCATTCACTCACTTCACTGAATATGGGTGTTCCTGGCTGGGCCAGTATTTGTTGCCTATTCCTAATTACTCTAGAGAAAGTGGCATTGCACCACCTTCTTGAACTGCTGCAGTCCATCTTGTGTAGGAACATCCAAATTGCTGCTGGGGAGGAAGTTTCAGGTTTTATGACAGTGAAGGAATCGCGATATATTTCTGAGTCAGGTATATGGCTCAGAGGAAAACATGCGGATGATGGCATTCCCATGCATTTGCTGCCTTGTCCTTCTATGTTTTAGAGCTTATGGGTTTGGAAAGTGCTATCAAGGAACCTTGGGGACTTGCTGCAGTGCATCTTGTAGATGGTACACACTGCTGCCACTGTGTTTCAGTGATGGAGCAAATGAATGTTGACGTTGGTGGATGAAGTGCCCCCTCAAGCAGGCTGCTTTGTCCTGGACAATATTGAGTTTCTTGCATTTTGTTGGAGCTACACAGATGAGTGGAGAATATTCCATTACACTCCTGATTTGTTCATTGTAGATGATAGACATGCACTGGGGAGTCAGGCAGTGATTTACTTGCTGCAGAATTCCCAGTCTCTGACTCACTGTTGCAGGCACAGTATTTTTTTGACTAGCCCAGTTCAGTTTCTGGCCAGTGGTAACTCCCAGGGTCATTGCTAAGCTATGTCCTGTACACAAGAAGCAGGACAAGTCCAACCCACCAGTTATCACCCTATCAAATCTAAACTTGATGGTGAAGGTGTCAACAATAGTAATGCCACTGAACATAAAGGGGAAATGGAAATTGTTGGAAATAGTCTTGCCCTGGCATCTGTGTGGCGCAGATGCTACTTGCCACATTACCACCCAAACCTGAATCTTTTCCAGGTCTTGTTGCCTATGAACAAAGGCTGCTTCAATATCTCAGCAGTTGTGGATGATGCTGAACATTGTTAAATAATTAGATAATATCCCCACTTCTTACATTATAACAAAAGGAACATCTTTGATGAAGGAAGTGAAGGTGGTTGCTCCATGTTTGGACTGAGGCTGTATTGATGTCAGGAGCTAAGTGGCCCTAACAGAACTCTAACTGGGCATCAGTCATTGGGTTACTATTAAGCAAGTGCTGCTTGATAGCACTGTCAGTGACACCTTGCATCACCTTACTGGTGATCAAGTGTAGACTTGAATGGGCGATAATTGGTGGGTTGGATTTGTCCTGCTTTTTTGTGCATAGGGCATAACTAGGCAGTTTTCCAAATTGGCGGTGTAGTAGCTAAACTGGAACAGTTCTGAAGCACAAGTCTTCAGCACTATTGCCAGTATGTTGTCAGGGCCCATGGTTTTTACAGTATCCAGTGCCTTCAGTTGTGTATTGATATCACATTGAATGAATCTACTTGGCTGAATACTGATATTTGTGATGCTGGGGATCTCTGTGGAAGCTGAGATGGATCATCCACTCAGCACTTCTGGCCATAGATCCATTTTTCTACTGAGTCAGGATGCTCTATTCTACCCACTTATCAGCTGAGACTCAGAGTAGCACATTCATCTCGGGAGTTTGAACATCATGGGTTCAAGCTCCACTCTTCGAAACTTGGGCACGGAATACTTGTTGACTATAAAAGCACTTGGGTTATTTTGAAGTTGTGAATGGTGCCACAGAAATTCAAGTCTTTCTTATCTTCCTTAATTGAGAAAAGTATGGACTAGTTCTAATGTTATCTGTTGGGAAGCCTTGAATGGACATCCCCTTCCATCTAGAATTGGAGAATCTTACAAAACAGGAGGAGACCTTTCAGCCCATTGTGCATGTACTGGATCTTAGTATGTTCACTACTGAGTTAAATCTGATTCTAACAACCTTTTCAGGTAGTGGCTGATAACACCCTTTGTGAAAAAAATATATATTTTCATTTCTTCTGAAGATCTTTTTCCAATGGTTTATAAATCAGTGAGCTTCTGTTCCTGACACATTTGCCACAAGGGAATAGTATCTTCTGCTTGCTCTATCCAAACCCCACAATTCTGATTAACCGTTAAATCTCCCCTTTAGCTTCTCTGCTAGAATGTGAACAACCCCAGTTTCTCCATATAATTGATTGATCTTCCCTGAAATTCACACTTCTGGATATACTCACTTGCTTCTACCAGTGGCTTCCACTTCCGTGACCAGGTTGCTATCTGCAGGGCATACTGTTTCTCAATCTTTGCTCTCTCCTGGAAACACAGGATGATGTCGTTGCAGACTTTGTAGCCATCGTCCGTGCGTTTTGTTGTGCTTTTATATTTATCTGGCTGGGAAAAGGAAATTAAAACGTTGCTCAGACATTAGTCACTGACGTAGGTGTTCCTGGTACCTATTGTACTTGTCACCCCTATGCTCGCTGCCTGATATTGGCAAGTGGTTGAATAGTTGCTTGATATTACAATTATTTTCTTTAAGGTTTTGGAGTAGATTTGTAGCTCGGGTTGTGGGTGTTGAGGTTAGTTGGCTCGCTGAGCTGGTTTGTTGTTCCGCAGACGTTTCGTTACCGCGCTTGGTAACATCCTCAGTGCAGCCTCTGATGAAGCGTCGGTGTGTTTTCCCACCTGGTTTTTAAACTCTGGGATCCGTTGCGATGGATTGCCTCACTTCCGGGTTTCCTCCATAGTGGAATGTATATGGGGTCGAGTTCAATGTGCTTCGTGGAGTGCCATGCTTCCAGGAATTCTTGTGCTTGTCTCTGCTTAGCCTGTCCCAGGATCTTGGTGTTGTCCCAGTCAAAGTGGTGGTTCTCCTTGTCCATGTGGATTGAGATGAGTGAGTATTGGTTGTGTCTTTTTATAGCCAGTTGGTGTTCATGTACTCTTGTTGTTAGTTTCCTTCCTGTTTGTCCGATATAGTGTTTCTCGCAGTCTCTGCAGGGGATCTTGTAGATGACATTGGTCCAGTCCATGGCAGGGAGTGGGTCTTTAGTTCAGGTGAGCACTTGTCGTAGGGTTGATGTGGGTTTGTGTGCCACTCTGATGCCCAGCGGTTGTAGAAGTCTTGTGGTGAGTTCGGACGTGTTCCTGATGTAGGGTAGTGTGATGAGTGTGTCAGGGTGTATAGAATCTTTCTGATGCTGTTCCTGTAGGCATCTCCTGACCCAGTTCTTTGGATATCCATTATCCTTGAACACTTGGAAGAGGTATTCCTCCTCCTCTAGGCATAGTTCCATGTTGCTGCAGTGTGTTGTTGCCCTTTTAAATAGTGTTCGCACGCAGCTTCGTTTGTGTGTGCTGGGATGGTTACTATTGAAGTTCAATACCTGGTCTGTGTGTGTGGCTTTTCGGTGTTCTTTCGTTTGCAGTTCCCCATTTGTCTTGTGCTCTACCATGACGTCCAGGAATGGGAGTTGTTTGTTCTCCTCCTGTCTGGTTAATTTCATTCCGGTGAGGGTGTTGTTTATGAGTTTGTGTGTCTCTTCTAATTTGGTCCGTTTAATGATGACAATTGTCATATACATTCCACTACGGAGGAAACGTGGAAGTGAGGCAATCCATCGCAACGGACCCCAGAGTTTAAAAACCAGGCGGGAAAACACACCGACGCTTCATCAGAGGCTGCATTGAGGATGTTACCAAGCACGGTAACGAAACGTCTCCAGAACAACAAACCAGCTCGGCGAGCCAACCAACCTCAACAATTATTTTCTTTATATAATCATAGAATCCCTATAGTGTGGAAGCAGGCCATTTGGTCCATCAAGTCCACACCATCCCTCAGACAGCATTCCACCCAGATCCACGCCCCTATCCTATCCCTGTAACCCTGCATTTCCCATGGCTAACCCACCCAACCTGTACATCCCTGGACACTATGGGCAATATAACAGGGCCAATCAACCTAACCTGCACATGTTTGGACTCTGTGAGGAAGCAGAAAGGGGTAGAATGTGTAAACTCCACACAGACTGTTGCCGAAGGATGGAATCAAACCTGGGTTCCTGGTGCAGCAGTGCTATCCACTGAGCCACCATGCAACTCCTTAAAATACAGCGTGGTGTTCTATACATCCAAGAGACAGCAGCACTTTTAAAACCTAGAAGTTTGTGCCCAGTCCTATAAAATGTCTTTGTTAATATCAAATAGGTTCTGTTGATGGATGTTAAATATCTAATGGTCGCAAATAATAGGATAAACAGATATTGGTTATTGATTAGTTAATAACATTGAGTTGCAAAGGTTCTTTGGAGCAGTGAATGTGTCCCTACCTCTAAGCCAAGAGGCCTAGGTTCAAACCCCACCTGCCCCAGAGATGTCATTACATCTCTGAACAGGTTGATTTGAAAATATCTATTGAGTTGCAAAGTGTTCTTGTGTTGCCATGATAGTATCTTTACCTCTGAGCCAGAAGGCCCTGCTTCAAGTCCCACCTGCTCCAGGTGTGTCACAACATGTCTGGACAACTTGATTAAAACAACTATCAAGTTGCAAAGCTTTTTTGTGTTGTGGTAGTGTCCATACCTCTGAGCCAGGAGGCCTGGGTTCAAGTCCCATCTGCTCCAGAGATGTGTCATAACATCTCTAAACATGTTGATTTGAAAAAAAACGAATGAATTGCAAGCAGGGGCACAACCAATCTGCTGCAAGACCGTACTTTTGAGCCACAGGATCCAGGTTCAAGTGCCATGTCAGGATATGATGGCCTCAGAGAGGCATGTAATAACATGTCTAAACAGATTGATTAACTATTGAGCTGTAAGTTTAAAAATGAAGAGAAGGGGAAGAAATATTGAGGGCTGTTTTGGCACAGAGACCTGCGTTTAAGCCCTTCCTGCCCCAGAACTGTGTAATAACATTTCTGAACAGGTTGATTGGAAAATATAAATATTGGTCGGGACCTGAAGGCTGGCTTTTTATGATATAGTCCAGCGAGATTTTTACATGAGAGTTGGATCTCCCTAAAGTATAGAAGCATTGCGAAGATATATACTACTTAATAGAAGAGGACAAGGGTTAAAGGAAAGGTTTCTTTGAGCACTTCAGTCCCAAGTGCTTGATCTTTGGGCAGTGGCCCCTATCCCTAAGCCAGGAGACCATCCCATCTGCTCCAGAGGTTTGTCATAACATGCACGGATAAGTTGATTATAAAATGGCTATTGATTGTCACTTAGTGCTCTGGCAGTACAATGACAGTGTCCCTACCTCTGAGCCAGGAGACCCAAGTTCAAGTCAACCTGCTCCATGGGTGTGTAAGAACATCTCTGAACAGATTGATTGATTAGTAAAATATTTATGTATAAATATAGAATGTAATTTGAAGAAGTGTGGACTGTTCTCCTTGGGGGAAATCTGACAGAGGTTTTCAAGAGCATGCACAGGGTGTATAGAGTAGATCAGAAGAAATTGTTTGTTTAAAAAAAAGGAGAGGTTATTGATTCAACATGACTTACAAACAAAGCAAGGGTGAAATGAGAATTTCATTTCCACACAGCATATAGGTAGGTATGAAATGTACCACATAGAAATGTGATGGAGGCAGATTTAATTGCTCCATTCAAGGGAGCATTGGACAATTGTTTGAATAGAATTTACAATATGGGGAAAATGACAAGAGATTGGCACCAGGTATTGATCTTTATTTGAAGAGCAGTGGAGGCAAGATGGACCAAATAGCCCCTTATGCCATAAGACCTCTGTGATTCAGATAGGCTTGGAAATCCTCGCATAAACCTCTCACCCAGTCCTGTTTCTGTAATCTCCTCCAGCTCTACACACCTTCTTTAAATCTGCACAGCTCCAACTCTGGCCTCTTGTGCACATTACCTTCTTTGACCCACCATTGGCGACTATTGCCTTCAGCTATCTGAGCACTAAGTTCTTGAATCCTTCCCCAAATCTCTCCATCTCTTCATCCATCTCCCCTCTATTTATATTATCAAAACACATTAATACAATCCAATTTTGTGTGTTCGAGGGTTGCCTTTGGCCAGAGAGGTGACACAGTTGTTTGATGTGCCCACACCTTGTGCAATTGACCAACGAAGCGATGGCATTGATTTCTTGGACGGTGAGTGCTGAGTCAGTGTGAGTCCTTTTTTTTGGGAGGGGTGAGGTTTGTAGGGAACCAGTAATTTGTCTTGCAGACAATGGGGTCATATGGCCATCATTTACTCCTAACATTTTAGCGTGGTTAAAATGTGTGGTCTGAAAACATTGTTAATAAATTATCTGAACCTTGTTGAATAGAAGGAAATTTTGAAACTGTTTGGGAGTGAACTGGATGGTGGGACTAGCAGTGCCACAGTCCTGAGGAGCCAAGTGTCTCCTGTCTGCACTAGAATGTTCAATGAGGGTAAATTTAACTTCTGTTACACCGTAAAAATCCATTAATGACATGAATTTTGTGGTGGAAATGACAGTAAAACTGAGTGTGTTCAGTGTCATTACTCCATTACAACTGACAGCAACTTTTGTGGTCCACATGTGCAGAATAACATGGAAGTCCAGAGGCTACGGTCAGTGGTTGTCCATACTTCCTGACTATCTGCTGTTGAGGTACCTCCAGCCGCAATCAATGAATAATCAACCAGATAACAAGAATTTCCACTTCTTCTGTGCTTCTCATAGTAAAGAGCCCTTCTAATAGTTACATCTTGTTGAATAATTTGTAGCTGCATTTTAACAGCATACTAACTTCACAATAACTGCTAAGCACGCTCACTGACCTTGAAAAGCTACTCTTATGTTTGTGTAATATCAAATTTATCCACAGAAAACAAAATATATTTAATAGAACATTTTAAGCCTGCTTTAAATTTAGATTTAGATTTTATTGTCACTTGTCACCTTTGGATTAATCTAATCATAATCATTTACAGTAAAAATTTTCATTTTGCAGCACTGAAGCAACTCCGATACCCCAAAGACTTAAAAAAAAAAGTTAAATTTTCCATCTTTAGTCAAGCGTGATTTAAATCTGTTTATTTATGTTTTCTTGGTTTGATCTTCTTTCCCTTTCTTTAGCCAACAGTTCGTGTGGCTGAACTGTTTGTAGAATGTAACAAATACATCTCTGTAACCAGCCTGAAAGTGGTGCAGAAGGGAAACTCAGCATGACAAATGCAGAGCAGAATTTGTTTTTCACATCATCCATCCCTTTCCCTGCTATTAATAGCAATATAATTATTGCTTTCCCCGCTGAGCCTCAGTTACAGAAAACAAAGACACTCTCTATCAGCTCTTCCTTTCTGAGACACTCAAAAGCATCATTTCGTAAGTAAATGCACATCTTTTCCACTGCTCCTGCTGTTGCTGCTGTAGTGACTCCCCAGTAACTGGCATCTTTTCCTTAAGGCACCGCTCATTCCCAACATGTGATACATCGTACAAATTTTACTGTTTTCAGAGCACGGAACCTAAAAAGGAAAGATATCGACAGCTTTTAACTTCCTGGAGTTTGCTGTGATTTATTTGATGTGATTGGCTTACTTGCTTGCTGATATCACTGCTGCTGGATACCTGGAGATCCTCTGACCAAATTCATACAGGCATTGGAATTGGGGGAAAGCCATAGAGTCATCGTCATACAGTCACATAGCACGGAAACAGACCCTTCTTTATGGACAGCCTTTTTGGAAGTTACCAGTGACTGACCTTTGCGGTGACTGCAAACTCCAGGCCAAAAACAAATCAGCTACCCATTTACACCTTGTCTCACTTCTCCTCTCATGTGACTTTAGTGAAAGTCAATCTATCAATTATCACTTCATTGAATGGATTTCTCAATATAATAGAACATTCCCCGATCAGATGGTTAAATTCCCTCCACTGTAGTTCAGGTCACATGTGCTGTTAGTTCACACATAGGCCCTTTACTCCCATGGTTTTCCAGGTGGTAACTATAGTGATAGTAATGAGGTCAGCCAGCTGGACCTCAGAATATGAGCTCCCTGTTTGGGGCTGTTAATCTGGTCCAATCAGGGAGCCCTGGCTGACATATTAAAAACGATGATAGCATCAGAGATACAAGCACTCTGGTACCTGTCTCTGAATGAGGCAATACTAAAGTGAAGGAATGTTCGTGTATAAATAAAGAGTGAATTAGAGTTGGGATATTGGCCTCCACCAAGTTATTTTAGTAACGTGTTTCCCCTCAGTAAGCATGTTCAGGGATTTCAATCAATTGTAGTTAATTGGTCTGCTCTTAAGAGCTTGAGAAACAGAAGTAGGAGTAGGCCATTCACCCACTCACTGCCCTACCATTCAATACGATCATGGCTAATCTGATATAGCCTTTACTCCATTTTCCTGTCTGTCCCTCATAACCTTGACTCCCTTGTCAAACAAAAGTCTGCTGTCTTAGTCTAGTTCTCAGTGAGCGCAATAACTATCCAAACAGAGATCATTCATTTGCATTCAGGAATCCAAGTTTTTATTGCTGGTCCTTGACTGAGGAAGACGGGGACTATTTATAGTTTTCTGACTACATCCCCAGTTAAAGTCCAGACTTGGAGCTTTCTGTCTGTATAGTATAAGTCTTCTCCCTATTTGGATTTTCTGGAGACTTTTGTTTTAGAAAAACTGTCTGAACAAAATGATGAATATAAATCACCCCCCAGAACTTTTTATCGGAGCAGTGTTGCATACTAAGCATAAGACAACACCTGATCATATGAAACTCACCATCCAGAAACTGTTGCTGGTTGCTGCTGACCCTGGGGCATCACTGTATTTCAGAGACATAGCAGCACAGTCTTCTGGCTTCTCTTCCTCTCACGCACTGTCTCGGTCTCTTTCTCACATCAACTTTCTTCTAGGAGTCAAGAGAAAAAGGATTTATTGTTTGAGAAATGCTTGTAGCTTCCATTTTTTGGCTGTTGAACTGGTGTATTGTCAGTTTTATAAGATGGGAAAAGTTCACATGTTAGAATATGCGGGAAGGGAACCTCTTCAGTTCCTGCTTCATTGCCTTATAACATATAGTTGTAGGGTCATACAGTCATACAGCACAGAAATAGACCTTTTGGTCCATGCCGAACATAATCCCAAACTAAACTAATTCTACCTGCCTGCTTCTGGCCCATATCCCTCCCAACCTTTCCTATTCATATATCCATCCAAATGTATTTTAAACATTGTAATTGTACCCACATCCACCATTTCATCAGGAAGTTCATTCCACACGCGAACAACCCTCTGTGTAAAAAATTTGCCTCATATTCCTTTTTTTAATCTCTCTCCTCTCACCTTAAAAATGTGCCCCCTAATGTTGAAATTCCCCATCTTAGGGAAAAGACAACTACAATCAACTCTATCTATACCTCTCATTATTTTATAAACTTCTATCAGGTCGCCTCCCAACTTCCTATTAGTCATATCTAGTGTATAGCGAGGTAGGTGTCTCATGCTTCAATGAACGTAACTCAGTCAAGGTGCTTTTGGTTTAGATTTGTAAAGAAAAGCTTGCATTTATGTTGCACCTTTCACAATCTCCATGGCCCAAGGTACTTTAATGTGCAGTACCTTTGAAATGTAACTGTTGTCATGTAAAGTCACTATAGACCCAGAGGAACATAGGGCCACTTTCAAGGTCTTTTCCCCAGGGGAGGGGAGTCCAAAACTAAACGGCATAGAATAGAAGCCCTGCAGTGTGGAAACAGGCTATTCAGCTCAACGAATCCACACCAGCCCTCTGAACAGCATCCCATCCAGACTCATCCCCCAACCTATCCCTGTAACCCTGCATTTCCCATGGCTAAAACATCGAACTTACACACCTCTGAACACTATGGGTCAATTAGCATGGTCAGTCCACCTAACCTGCACATTGTTGGAATATGGGAGGAAACTGGACCACCTGGCAGAAACCCATGCAGGCACAGGGAGAAGTGCAAACTCCACCATGACAGTCATCCGAGGATGGAATCGAACCTGGGCCCCTGGCGCTCCGCTAACCACCAAGCCACCATGCCACCTAAAGGTGAGAGAGGAAAATTTAAAAGAGACCCAAGAGGCAACTTTTTCACGCAGATGGTGATGTGTGTGTGGAATGAGCTGCTAGAGGCTGGTACAATTACAACATTTAACAGGCATGGTACATGAATAGGACAGGTTTAGAGGGAAATGGGCCGAATGCTGGCAAATGAGACTAGATTAATTTAGGATATCTGGTTGGCATGGACAAGTCTGGTTCCGTGCTACTGTATATCTCTACAACTCTATGATTGGTGGTGCGTTTAACCTGAGGGTCACCATTCCTAAGACAAGGGATAAGGCTGAAAAGTTGGGACCTTCATAGTGATCTTAGCAGTACAGGAATTGCACTCCTCACATAAGTTGGCATCAGTCTGTACAGCAAACCAGCTGTCCAGCCAACTGAGCTAGCCAACCCCAACTCCCACACCTCAGCAAGCTTCACCAACAGATATGTAGCAGCAACCCAAAATAGTATATTTTAGTTAATATCTTTGAGGAATCAATATTTCCCAAGGGCAGAGAGTAGCAGTCCTTGACACTTCTTTGAGATGGTGCCCTTTTGCATGCATCAGGAAGGACAGTTGGGGCCTTGGTCCATTCCAAGTAAAGGCATCTTTGACAGTACAACTCTCCCTCAGTACTGCAGCTTAGATTTTGTGTTCGAATCACTGGAACCAGTTAGACTAAGCAAAGAGTGGAAAAGATTTGCAGCTGAAATAGATGGAGATGGGTACTTTGAATATAGATCACTTAACCAACCATATCACCATTCATGGGACTGGTTAGGTGCATGGGTCAAGATCCTTGTACTCCCTCCCTAAGAGCACAGTAGATGTACACTGTAGGGATGTGTAACGTCACTGGACAAATAATCTGGAAGCCTACTTTAATGCCGTATGGGTAGGAGTCTGAATCCCACTATAGCGACTGGTAGAATTTTAATTCAGTTAAATTTGATTGATTAATAAAAGTAATGGTGCCATTAAACTATCATCCATTGTTGTCAAAACCCAGCTGTTTCACCAATGCTCTTTAGAGAAAGAAATCTGCCATCCTTACCCAGTCTGGCCTACATGTAACTCCAGATCCACAGCAATGTGGTTGCCTCTCAACTGACGTCTGAAATGGTCCCAAGCAGACCATATTTCAAGGGCAGTTAGGGATGCTCTTTGGTCTGTCCAAAACTTGTTGGTCTTCCAGAGCAAGGAGTTAACCTCAACCAAGTGTTGCAGACTGACATGTTCCGAGGTCCAGGACTATGTGCTGAGGATGCACTAAAGCTTGTGCTGCCAAGGCACAGTGGATAAAAACCACTGTCTGAGGTCTTTCTGCTGGAGTTAAATGGTAGTCCATTCAGCTATTGGATCCTCCTAGTGCCTCAAATGCATGCAAATCTAGTCTTGATGAAGTAAGAGATATTTGTTTTATTTGGATAGAGACAAACTCCAATGTTTGCTTTGCCACTGTACAGAACCGAACAGTGTTTGTGACTATGTACATATATGAACATATTTTGATGACTAAAGTATATTTTTGAAATTAAAAAAAAACAATTAGGGATGGTCAACAAATGCTGCCTTTGCCAGAGACACCCAAAAAGGCTTTTAAAAAATGGATTGCAGTCGTTCACAAAATCAGCTCACCATCATTCTCTTAAGGGGCAAGTAGAGATGGGCAGCAAATGCAGGACATTGCCATCAATGCACAAGTCCAAAGAAAGAAAAATAAATTCTATCCATGGTCCTATTTGAGGTGTGGAATTTAGATTAGATTCTCTTGGCACCAACATCCTGAACTAAATATGTCTTTGTAATGTAATACGGGTGTGATTCAGAGCAGGCTCTCTGTTTATTATCCTATCTCAAAACCCCAAACTAAGAGTAAAAACCAGTGTAATTGTCTTCTAGATTCACCTTAAAGAGTGTTCAGAATCAATAGTAGTTCACCCCTTGATTTTCTTTAAAAGAATACAATCCAGGGATTGCAATAGATCCTCTGGCAGATTAGAAAGGAAAATAACCTTCAAAAGGCACTTTATCTCATCCTCAGGATGTCCTGGAAGGGAAAAACTGCTTTGACTGTCAGGAGGATCGGAAACTAAAGGAAACAGATTTAAAATAATGGTCGAAAGAACTGGAGGACAGAGCAGGAGAATCCTTTTGCTTTATAATTAAAACACAGCAGATTGTTATCTGGAAGACACTGCTTTAAAAGGCAGGCCGAAACTGAACTAGGAGTGACTTTCCAAAGGAAATTGCATGAATACTTAGAAAGGATAGAGAAGGAGGTTATAGGGAATGGCAGGATGGGGAGAGTAGTGGTATATTAACTGGGAGGAGGGTCACAATACAAGAGAGTTGAAGAACTGAAAACACCTCAAACAATTTGCAAGCAATAAGCAGCAGAGATTCCAGCTAAGTGGGGAATCCAACAATATAACAAGAAATATTTTATTATTGATGGGATCATTGTTTCATTGACCATGTAAGGAAATTATTCCAATTTTTTTTTATCATCAGGAGTTAAATTTTTTTCAAATAAGCTCGTCCATTTTCCACTTTGCAAGAGAATTGGCTGGGCTTGACTATAACAGAAGGCAAGTTATAACAATGTCATACACCACAGTAGAATTTCTTTTTCTTGCATGGGATGACGGAGGGGAGTGGTGGGAAATCACCAGCAAGGTTAGTATTTGTTGCCTATTCCTCTTTGCCCTTGAGAAGAAGGTAGTGTTGTAAACTGAACAATTGTCACCTTGAACTGTCACACTCAGTTTGAAGGTTGTGGGTTCAAACACCAAAACCACACCTCTCCTTCCCCAAATCCCCTTTGTTGATCTGTGGCTGCTTTTTACTGTTTGAAGGGTAGGATTTTCCCCCTCCCAGTTTCCTGGCCAACATCTTTTGCCTCAACCAACACCACCAAAATGATGATGATCTGGGTCGTTACATTTGCTGTTTATGGGATCTTGCTTTGCCAACACTACGCTTCAGAAGGAATTTATTGACCTTGAAGTACTTTTGAGATGCCGTAAAGATGTGAAAGGTGCAAGTCCTTTCTTTGACTGTTGACCCCGTTCATTAAGGAATATTAAGTCGCTCAAACTAACAGAGTCATTATCTCTGACTCACATTTTACGCTGTTACATTTTGGTGGATAAGTTACTGCAAGCCACTCAATTTGACCAACGAGCAATACCACTCTCTAATCCTTATGCTGGAAAACACCAATCCCCTGTTGTCTTTTCTTGTGTGTTCTAAGGATCTGAGAAACATAATATGGTTAGGGAGTTGCCCTTGAAGTTTAGTCAAGTTTCTCATTAAATAGTTTACGTACTCATTATGCACTCAATGTACTCATTTATCCACACACACCCTACTCACTGGTTGTGGTAACACTGCTGTCGAAGGCTGGACACACCAGATAGATATGTTGGAAGGGGGTGGGGATACAAGAGGAAAGAAGTCTTTTGCTGCAATTTTACAGGGCTTTGGTGAGATCACAACTGGAATACTCTGTACAGTTTTGATCTCCATACTGAGGAAGATTATACTTGGCTCCGAGAGGGCGTAATGAAAGTTCATTAGTTTGTCATTCCAGGAATCAAGTTTGTCCTTTGATGAGAATTGAGTTGACCAGGCCTATATATATTGGAGAATGGAAAAATGAGACATGATCTCTGTGAAACATGGAAGTTTCTGACAGGGCTATACAGGGTAGTTGGTGAGAGGCTGTCTCCTGGAGAGTCTAGAATTCGGGGACACAATTTTGCGACACTGGTTTGGTTGTTTAGAACAGAGATGAGGTGAAATTTCTTCATTTAGAACTTGTGACTCTGGAATGCTCTAATCTGATGATGACTATAGTATTGTATTTTGTTCTTTCTACCATCCTTCAGTATTTTTCTTGAAATAATCGATTGTAAAGTTCATCTCGGTTTAGTCCTTGTCCACAATAAATGTTGATTTTTCATTAATTGATCCTTTGAATTGAAATACCACAAAGGTCTCAGGGGACTTTTTTTTTCTATTCATTTGTTGGATGTGGGCGTCGCTGGCTGGCCAGCATTTATTGCCCATCCTTAGTTGCCCTTGAGAAGATGGTGGTGAGCTGCCTTCTTGAATCATTGCAGTCCACCTGCTGTGGGTTGACCCACAATGCCATTAGGGAGGGAATTCTAGGTGTTTTGCAGCATAAGGATTAGAGAGTGGTATTGCTGTTTAGTTAAAAGCTCTTTGGCTTGCAGTAACGAATCCACCAAAATGCAACAACGTAAAATGTGAGTCAGAGCTGATGACACTGCCAGTTTGAGCTGCTTAACATTCCTTAATGAACAGGGTTAACAGTCAAAAAACAGAAAGGACTTGCAGCTTTCACATCCTTAGAGCATTTCAAAGTGCTTCAAGGTCAATAAATTCCTTCTGAAGTGTAGTGTTGGCAAAGCAGGATCCCATAAGCATCAAATGTAACAACCCAGATCATCATCTTTTTGGTGGTGTTGGTTGAGGCAAAAGATGTTGGCCAGGAAACTGGGAAGGGGGAAATTCCTACCCTTCAAATGATAAAACGTAGCCACAGATCAACAAAGGGGTTTTGGTGTTTGAACCCACAACCTTCAAATCGAAGGTGGGAGTTCTACACACAACCAAGGTGACTTGACAAGGGTAAATTTGGAAAGTTGTTTCCCCTTGTGGGAGAGTCTAGGACCAGAGGGCATAATCTCAGAAAAAGGAGTTGCACATTTAAGACAGATGAGGAGGAATTTCATCTCACAGAGGGTTGTGATCCTGTGGAGTTCTTTAGCACAGAGAGCTGTCGAGGCTGGCTCATTAGTATATTCAAGGCTGGGATAGGGATTTTTTTAGTCAGTAAGGGAATTGAGTTATGGATAAAAGGTAGAAAAGTAGAGTTAAGGATTATCAAATCAGCTATGATTTCATTGAACAGTGAGCCAGATTCAATCAGCTGAATTGCCAGCTTCTGCTTCTACGTCTTATAGGCTGTGGATGCTCAGTCATTGAGTCTGCTCAATATTGAGACCAATAGTGTTTTGGATTTTAAGGGAATTAAGGGATAGGTAGAAATGTGGAGTTGAATTCAAAGATCAGTCATGACCCTACTCAATGGCGGAGCAGGTTCAGAGGACTGTATGATCTACTCTTTACATTTTTTGGTGATCTCCATTAGGATGATAGATCAGCCATGATATGAAAATGGCAGATATTAATGCAGACAACTATGAGACAGTCACCAACAGCTGTGACCTCTAAAAGTTGACTGTTCAGGGAGGCAATGGAAGAAACAGGAAGAAATGGATAGCTCAACTGACCAAGGAGAACATCAATATAAATAGAGGCCAATGAAACATACATTTTCTTAGCCTGCTGTCTTCATCTGCAGCAAACGCAGAAGGGACAACGCTGCTAGAGTGTAGCACCTGAGCCATGTCAGGTGATGTTTAACACAGAGTCATACAGCATAGCGTAAAACAACATCTCACAAGATGGAAGGCTGCTAATGGAAGAATGAAGGTGGACCAGCACCATTAGAAGCATTCACGTGTGAGGGAGGGACCAATAAACCAGGCCTCTCACTCCAGGTTAACCATTCACTGACCATCTGCTGAAAAATTGCTCCTGTGTGTGAATATTGGATAAGGACAAGATCGGGGTGAGGCCATGATGATCTCCATTTTTCTATCGGCCTCTGACACTCACTGCATTAACTGACCTGAAAGATGAGAGGGGGTATTAATAACAAAGGTAGCACACTTTTAAAGTGAAAGACAGGAGGTTTAGAGGGGATTTGAGGAAATCCTTTCTCACCCTGAGAGTGTTGAGAATCTAGAATGCACTGCCTGGGAGGGTAGTTGAAGGGGAAAAACTTCACAGCGTTTAAAAAGAACTTGGGGTGAATACTTCAAATGTCATAACATTCAAGACTATGTGCCAAGTGCTGGAAAGTGGGATGAGTATAAATTTGTTGCAGTTTTGGCAGTACAGACTCGATGGACTGAAAGGTAGCTTTTGTACTGTATGGTATTATCAACTATTTCTTCTGGAGTATCATTGACTTAGAGGCAACAGAGTTTAATGAAAGTAATGAAAGGGTTGTATAACATTCCTGTTGATAGATTAATGAGGACCGAAGGACATGAGTTTAGATTATGCAATAGTAGGAATGGATTGGGTATTGGGCAGTCCTACCTTAGAGATCAGAGAGCTATTACTGGCTAGTGTGATGGATACTGGGTTTCTGTAATTAACTCCCAGTTAGGGCAGAGGTCAGAGGGTAAGCAAGGGAGGCTTAATGGACTCACTGACCTTTCAGAGTCTCTTACTTTGACACGCTGATTGAGAAAGTAGTGTCTGCAGCTGAACGTGTAACAACATCATCATCGGCACATTGTGGGGTGGTGGGGGGAGCTGGATAGAAGGAAGAAAATTGAGGATGAGCATTTGTGAGGGGGATTACAGAGTTATCAGTGAAGCAGGAATTTGATGCCCCACCCTGCAACTTCAATTAAGGAGCCCTTAAGTTGACACACCCTTTACAAGATATCAACACACCACTCAGGAATGCAGAGCAGTATTTAATGTATTTTGGAATGTCATGTTGATATACCATCCCTTGCTCCACTTCAGGCCGATGTTGCCAGCTTTGCATGTTTAGCAAATAGCCATAAATAGCTGGGATCTCTTGCCTTTCATTAACGATATTGAGAGGACAAACTGCTTGTTACCAGCTGTAAGGCAACACCCGTCAAGCCAGCAAACATGGTTTCTGCACCACCTTCTCTCACATCTCCAATAAGATTCAAATCCTTTTGTTTCTAACACTGAATAACTACATGCGTTGTGGCATGACTCTGTTAATGACCACCATTGAATGTGTCGCTATGGCAATTGAGCAGTTGATGTGAGTACCCCAGCTGTGCCCTACTTGTACCCCAGCTCCCACCCAGGATCCCCCACTGTCCTACAATTGAGAAGCTATCATACTTGGAAGCACCATTGATTTTTATTAGGTAAGGGAATTGAAGAGCTATTGAACCAAGCTAAGTCGATGGGGATAACACATAAATCAGTCCTAACCTAACTGATTGGCAGAAAGCCTCAAAAGGCTGAATAGCCACTTTCTGATGGTCTAGGCAGACAACTGTGCCACCCAGTGATGTACCAAAGCCTATAGAGTAGGATGACCCACATTCTAAGCAACCCAATCTCATCTGGCTGTTGCTTGGAAAGGCATAGCTAACTTTGACCCCAGTTGGGTCAAAGGAAGTGTGTCAAGGGTTTCTCCTCATCCTATACCATAACTCTTGCAGGAACATACACATCATATGGTGATGTGGGATCAATTTCAGATGCAACATCCTTTCCCTATCTGCAAGCCAGTAATCTCTGTAAAGTGAAGAATAGAGATATGTACACCACTATACGCAAATAAACCATATTCTGTACTTGTAGTCACATCCCTTAATGAGCAAGTGCTTTTACAATTTTTTAAACTTTCTTTCATTGAACAAAAACAAGATCAGCATTCATGACTCATTCCTAATTGCCATTGAGAAGGTAGTGATGATCTACCTTCTTGAACCACTGCTGTACATGGCTGAAGGTTTACTTATTGTGCTGTTAAGGACTGAGTTCCAGTATTTTGACACAATGATAATAAAGGAATGGTAATATATCACCAAGTCAGGATGGGGAGGGAAACTTGCAGATGGTGGTGTTCCCATGTGTCTGCTACCCTTTTCTATTTAGATGGTATTCTTTACAGCCGTAGAAAGTGTTGCCAAAAGAGGCCTGGTGAGTTTCAGTGCACAGTAGTGGAGGGAGTACATGTTTAAGGTAGTAGTTAAGATGCCAATAGAGTGGGATTCTTTATCATGGATGGGATTGAACTTCTGGAGTGTTGTTGGAGCTGCACTTATACAAGCAAGTGAGGAGTATTCCATCACACTCCTGACTTGTGCCTGGCAGCAAGTGGAGTAGCTTTGGGGAATCAAGAGGGGCTATCACTCGCTGCAGAGTTCCCAGCCTATGGCCTGTTCTTGTAGCCACAGTATTTATGTGGTTAGGATAAGTATGAATGAATAAGTATAGATGGTAACCTCCAGGATCTTGATGATGGAGGGGGGCGGGATTCAGTGATTGTGATGATATTGAATGTCAAAGGGCAAGCGTTGGATTTTCTCTTGTTGAAATGGTTGTTGCCTGTCGCTTGTGTCAATTTCGTAAAGATGGTAAGTATTTGCTTCCTTAAGAAGCATGGAGTGAGTCATGTAATTATCTAGAATGCATCCTGTGACCCTGGAGTTGATGGTTCATTGCCCTAATACAAAATAATTACCGGTCACTTTGCACACCATCAATCAAATCAAAATCAAATCGGAACAGAAACAGGCCATTCAGTCCTTCAAGCTTGCTCCACCATTCAGTATAATCATGGCTGATCATCCAACCCTGTTTCCCTTTTCTCCCCATTTCCTTTGTTTCCTTTAGCCTTAAGAACTCTTTGAAACATTGATTATTTGGGACTCAACTGCTTTCTGTGGCAGAGAATTCCACAGACGCACTGCACTCTGGGTGAAGAAATTTCTCCTCACCTCAGTCCTAAATGGCATTCCCTGTATACTCAGACTGTGACCCCTGGTTCTGGACTCTTCATCATCAGGAAAATACTCTTCAATTGAAGTAGAATTATGGGCAGATGGTGAGTTGGGTGGGGGTTTAATTGGACAAGAACAGACCAAAAGGAATGATGCAGCATTGATGGAGGTCATGCAGTTCATTCTGCCTGTTCCAGCTCTTTGAAAGAGCTACCTCATTAGTTCTAGTGCCCTGCTCCTTCCCATAGACCTGAGGAATTTTTCTGAATTAATTATCTTCAGTGTATTAAAAAGCTCATACATGTCAGCAGTCCGTGCCAGCTGTTTCCAACGTAAATTATTATGTTACGGTGGAAACTATGTAAACCAGTATTGGTGTAATTACATCCTCCCATGCCATTGGAAGTGCTGCCAGTGGTGGACTTGTGTAATTGCACCCTAAAAGTTTCACTGACATCATTTAGATCAGATAATTGACTTTTTAAAAAAAAATCCAATTCTGAAGTAGAGTCCCATTGGATTCGAAACACTAACTCCATTTCTCTCTCCACAGATGTTGTCAGACATGCTGAGTTTCTCCAGCACTTTCTATTTTCATTTTGGATTTCCAGCATCCGCAATATGTTGATTTTTATTTTGTTGAGAAAAATTATCCTGTAGCAAATGCCAAATTGTGATGACAGAGAAATAAGTAATCATAATTCATAACAAACAAACAAACAATCATTACAATAAAGTTGAAATGCTAAAAGCTTCACAAAATTGTGAATGTTTCAGCATAAAAGTTATAATTTGTTGCAAAATACAGCCTTCCTTAATTTACAAATTACGAATGGAAGATCTACTGCACTCTGCATTTTGTATTAAAGTCCATAAATCATATGTTACCATGCAGAATTCATTAAATTCTCAATCATTAGCATACAGCTTCCATTAGAAACAACAGCTTGCATTTGTAGACAGCTTGTGATGTGAAACAGCTCACGTTTGTAGATTTTGAGGGAGAGAGTGTTGGCAATTAGGAGGTTTCAGAAGGAACACTCCATTCAGGTCACTAAATATAAGGTCTGACACCAATTCCACCACCACCCACCACCACCACCCCCAACCCCCACCTCCCCACCTCCCCACATACAGGTGATGGTTTGACCTGAGATGACTAATCTTACAGTGGGGGCCTTAAACTATGATGACTCTTATTTTTCATAAGCACAATGGTCACCTCTTCCTGAATCAGGGATTGGCACACTTCTGTCTGGAAATTGTTGGCTCATTAGACCAGGTATTGCCCAAATAAAGGCTGAATCACTGACTGAGGAAGAGCCTTCACAGCAATAAAACATCTGAGTGGCCAGCAGGGCTTTGGCTCATGATTAGATTCCAGCATACAGATCCCAAATACGCAACTGACTGTCCTGAGCCAAGGAGATGTTAATGCAAAACAGCAGCTGCTCCATTTTACCCCACCCTGTGACATTACGTGCTAGGCAACAGGAAAATCTGGCTGGAACCAGCTGGATGGCATCTACCAGCTTATATCAGGAATGCCCGACCACATCAACCCTGAAACCCCTGTTATCAGGAAAACGTTCCCGGTAATGCTAACACAGCCTTCTAAATTTATCCCGCTGAGCGGAGAGGGTGATGTGTCACTGACTGCTCTGTAAATACTGTGTCTATGTTTTCTGCAAAAGACTGACAGTTGCCAGGCCACAGTTTTGAGAGTGCTGGTGCTGGCAGCTCACCAAAAAAAGTCCATTTCTCAGGAGCTCTGACACAGTGAGAGACTGGAGTCTTTTTCCTCTTAATCACTGGTGTGTTAGAGCTTGGGCTTGGTGGATCAGAAGCACTCATCACAAAATTTAAACTGCCCATGATTTTTGTTTTGAACAGGTGGGGCATTGAACGTAACTAGCACCTTATGTTAAGGTGCTAGTTACTGCAGAAGAGTCCCGATCTGAAATGTCAACTTTCCTGCTCCTCTGATGCTGCCTGACCTGCTGTGTTCCTCCAGCTCCACACTGTATTAGACCCTCATGTTAAGGTAACAGCTTCTTCTCACCAGCCCCAGATATGCAGTCCCTGGCATTGAAGAGGACAATTTAACCCTGAGCATCTACGGCCCAGTGTTCCATCCCAGAGCCACCAGATCCTATCCAGTAACTCACCACAGTGGCTGCGGTTCCTGTGCAGTGCCAAAAAGCACCACGGCCAACAGCTTTTGCTTTATTATGTTCTTTTCATGTGGTGTAGGCCAGTGTTTGTTTAATTGCCCTTGAACTGAGAGATTTGCTGGACCATTTAGTAGGGTGGTTAAGAGCCAACCACATTGTGGTGGGTCTGGATTCACATGTAGGCCAGACTAGGTAAGGATGCAAGTTTCCTTCCCTATAGGATATTAGAGAACCAGATAGGTTTTTACAACAACCAATGATAATTTTATGGTCACCATTTCTTGTCATTTTGGTAATTTAACCTAAATTCCACAAGCCACCACAATGGAATTTGAACCCGTGTCACCAGGTCATTAGCCTGGGCCTCTAAATAGGTTACTAGTCTATTATGTTTACATTTAGTTCCAGACGTATGGTGATGTGTTTGATGCTTAACTACCCACCAGGCAATTAGGGATAGGCAGTAAGTGCTGGCCTAGCCAGTGACTCTCACATCCTGTAATTGAATTTTTAAAAAAGTGGGTGGCAGTCATGACTCGATATTAAAATGTTGTGAGTTCAAGGTTTTCTCCTGGAATTTGAGTACATATTCCAATCTGACATTCCCACTGCAGTACAAAGGGAACGCTGTGATGTT